ATCGGAGAGTGAGAATAATTTTGGTAGATGTGCCTCTGAAACACAACCAGCCATATTCTTCAGTACTGAGTTTTTCGTTTCAACGCTAACATCAGCTATCAACACTTCTGAGTTCATACTGGATTGCTCACGTCAAATTTTCCATGTCACCTTCGTTAGTTTCATAGATCACTTTTAGGTCATCAGCATAGAGATAATTATTGTCAGCGTTGGAGCAAGTGAATATGCTATTGATATAGATTATGAAAGCAATGAACTCAAAATACTGACCTGCACAACACCACCGGTAATTGATCGAGGTGTGCATGTATCTGTGTTAATTTTGGTGATCTGGGATTTATTCGTGAGAAAATACCTAATACATTGCAGCAGGTGGCCAGTAATCCTGGTGGACTGAAGTCTGTTGATTAAAAGATTGTGATGCACATTATGGAAAGCGTTTTGATTTCAAAACATGACACGATCATTAGGTCTTTGTGGTCACGTATGTTGATACCTCAATAAAGAAATCTATCGGGACATGTGGTTGTTACGCTCGTCAACTGTTATGCTTGAAACTATTACGAATTCATCTTGGTCGGTAAACGAGAGCGAAGACAAATGATCCAGCGACGGAAAAGGCTATTCTGATTTGATTGTCCTTGGCCCTACTAACGATATCAAAAAGTCTTGATATGGCGTAGAAAGTATGTTCTACAAGCACCCAGGAAATATGAGATCCACAAGCGTACAATTCGAGTTTATTTTTTCATAATAGAAACGTCATTCGGGGGGCCAAAAAATAGCGTACTAAAACAATACATCAACCAATGATAGCCAAGGATTTTCTGAGTGGGAACTTCGCATCTCAAATGTTGTTCACTGATGTCGTAGAGGATACTATTTGGAACGGACATCAGCTTGTAGTTGAGCTTTGATATAAAGATATCAAGCTGAACATTGGTGCATAACGTAGCTCTAATTGAGCCATGTTGTTAGCAGTCAGTGAGACCTTCCCAGAGTAAGTGATAGGTGAGTTGATCTTTTACCACTTTCCCCTTTACGCATGAGATGAACGGATTGATATTATTAGGTCTGTAGTTTTAGATGAGGTCTTTCGGCCCAGATTCACGTTTAGGGATGATATGAGTTAATTTCCGGCCTTCGGAATATATACCTATCTCTAGGGATAATGTAAGTATTTTAAGCGAAAGTGCCAGAATATTCGGTTCCGCTACCCTTAAGAGTATGAATTTATTTCATATGACTGAAGCTGGTATTGCGTTTGATGGTTATAATGACGGCCTGAATATTACAAAGTTCAAAGTTGGTAGTATTGAGAATACTCTTGCAGATTTAATTAAGATTGAAGTCCAAGGTAAAAGATGTATTACGCTTCAGTGAGAACCGCGTACTGAGAAAGAGATAAGTGAAAGTTTATGCAAACTGAGGGAGGGTGGTGTATCTGACCAGCATTCATGACGGTGGGGCGATAACCTCAATCTACCCATGTCTGTGTGGCAGAACCTTCTGTTTGCTTACGGCTCCTTACGATATAGCAGGATGTAACAAATCAGTGATATTAATGTTACTTTTCCTTGCTAACCTCAACTACGTTCATGTCAGTAATCTTGCACTGGTTTTTACTTCCTACCAAGAAATTCTATTACAAGCAGTTCTGGACAATTATACATAAAAAGAGCTCATTCATAACTTCTTGAGCCACAGCGTTAAAAAAATATATAAAATAAAATAAAAGCATAAGATCAGTGGGCCTGATTATTGTGTTTTGTAAATCAACATTGTTGCTAGCGATTTGGTTATGCTGAATTTCCTTTATTCACAAGATTAAATGTCCATTCGTTATCTTACTAATGAAATTTCTTCATTAACCTACATAAATGCATGTGTACAGTTAGTGTTCTAATGAAAAAACGTCTGAGTAAGCATACCTTTGTTTTATCCATAAACGTATTTGCCAAGCCGTTGTTCGGCTCTAAACAAGAATATTTTCTGTTCCGCTCCTCGTCCCGTTTTCTTTATTCCTCTTTTTTCAGAACCTCATTCCGATCCTCATATATTAGTCTAGATATTTGCAGTAGACTTGGTTACCCTACCCAAGAACATGTGAAATCATTAGCTGATGAATATCAACCAGACCTTTGTACATTTACCACATCAATTCTTGTTATATGCAAACCTGTCTCTACCATGAATCGTTTCGCATTCAATAAGAGGATAGTCGTAACGCAACCTTCGTAACTCGCGCCAGTTATTCGCGTTGTACATTGCAGAGTTTTAAAAGAAATATGTTGCCAGTCTTAACAATTTGATCTTTCCTGTTAATTGGTAGGCCACTTGTAATATGTTTGTTATTTGAGGATAAATTATTATTATTATTATTACCTGTTGCAAATAGTCTCAGTAGTCGTGCTGAAGTTCCGATATGCCTTTTACTTATGGTGGAATGATCCGTTTATCGGTTCCTGCAATTGATTTCGCTTGTGTTGTCGTTTGAGGTGATGATTGTTGCTGAAGGTGAGTGGATAGTCCATTCTTCGGAAGTTGGTGATTAGATATTTTTCTTCGTTTTTTGTGCTTCAAGTGCGCGGCAGTCTTTTCGCTCGCTCAAAATGATATGAGCTTTTTCTATTGGTGTACCCTTTTCAAGTTGCCTTTTTATACCTTCACTTACCGAGTATATGTGATGTGAGGTTTTGCTGTCCTTTGGTATGCGGTATGCACTTTTTTAGTGCTTAAGTTTTGGTTTGTTTAGCGAATCACTGATTTGAAGCCCGTTCTGAAACGTTTAATCTATCGGAGATTTAATGTTGATATTGAATATATGTAGTTTCCCAGAGATTTCGAGACTGGTAAATCAGAAAACCGTATATGCTTGTAATATCATTAGAAAAAAGTATGGCATGAAACAACTGTTGCATGTCCCTTTGCATGATATGCGAGTTGGTTGTCTTTTACCTGAACGTCCTTTAAAATGTCAGTGTTCGTAACCTAAATGATGGATGATTCCGGTAAAGCGCATTTACATTTTGACGGCTCTACAATAGCAACTCAACTAGACCGTCAGTTAATATACACTTTGTATGTTCAAGATATTTCCTTAGACAAAATCTGAAATTGCTGATGAAATTACAAACGAAATGCTTTTATTCACATATCACGACCTGAAAATATATTTATGCACATCCATTTGTGATTAGCTGAGCTTTGCTGGTGTTCAGGCCTGTAGCCATCATCTGCATGCCATTCTGTTTCTCGAAAATGATTCTTCATTCGTCTTTTGACGGCTTTTAACTTAGCCTCAAAATTCGTGGTTTACGCTTGCTACCAAACGTTCGCTGAAACACCACTAAACATGATTTCAAATCTCATGACTTCAATCTCTTATTTTGGACGTGGATGTAATGAAATCGAAGAGAGACACAAGCGTTCTATTTTCACGTACTGGCATTCATTTGGAGCCCTTTCCGGGAAAGCTTGCACATGTGCAATAACAAAAAGACTTAGAAAGGTGGGATACTGTTTCTCCCATCAACGCACGCTTTCAAGGAAAGCTGAATCTTGACTAGAAAACCAGCTGTGGGGATCAATATAAGTCCACCAACTTTCCAGCCTATTACTGAAAACAAATAACCATATAGGGTACGCAGCCAAGGTAAATGCGACTCTTCGCTTTATACGAAAACAACTTGGTTCTATGACCCAAGAATTATTCTTAACATTATTTAAGACATACGCGCCTACACATGGAGGTTCACAACGTCGTCACACCCCCTCTGCTTAAAAAAGACAAATCTCTTGGATCGAGTACAGAGACGAGCAACCAAATGGGTGATAGGGTTGAAAAATTAACCTTGCGACGATAGACACCAGCCCTTTGGATTATTTCCACTGAGCTACAGGAGAATCAGAGGTGATCTAATTATGGCGTATAACATATTAAGCACGACAAACCATCCCAATGTGAGCATCTTACCGATGCACCACCATCACTCCCTCCGGGGGGATCCTCAAAAAAAATTCACAACACGGAGTGAATACTCAGGTTCGCGCACACTTTCTCTCATTGCGAGTCATCGCAACTTTAATGCTCTCCGAGCCGAGGTGCCCGCAGGCCCCTCAGTGGATTGCTTTAAGAAGAGACTTGATAATGACGTATTAACATACGGATTATTATCTCCTTCGTGGAAAAGCTGTTCCTGATGCATATCTTGAGACCTGCTAGTTGTTATCATCGCCATCTCTTCAGATCACTTACTTAATCTATCTCGCATATTATCTATTTTCTTTCCCTTACTTACATTTTGGTCCACTCTCACGATCTTCACTATAAATCAATAAACTGAATTATCTATTGATTTACTTACTTCTGAAATCTTCTTATTTACATTAGAATTTTCTCCTTATTATTCTCCACATTGCAACTAAATGATCTCCGGTCTGACAATGTGATCGCTGCTGCTTTCCAGAAACTCTACTGCCCTGAAACTAAGGTATTCATTCAAATCACGAGATATAGAAACTCACCACCAACTGCCAACTGACTAGAGTTAGACCACCATTAATTGGACACTACCAAACACCACGAACCATACCGAGAGATCAAGAATCGAGAGCAAACAAATCAAGTGGTTTATACTAACTTGTGAAAAGATATTGGATATTGGAAGTGATTTGATGGTTTCAAAACAACAACACACTAACTTATTGCGAGGGCACCTGATAAACATAAAATTTAGAGGATATCTAACCAACGCACAGAAAATGTAATACCGAAAAGCTGCGATATGCCGATCAATTCAAGGACGAAACAGTTAATGACTTTAAGTGCATCTTACATTCCCATCGCGTTTAATTTCCCGATAAGCTAGAACAAAAACAGCTGAATATTTAGAGATATACAACTCTGAAGCATAAGAGCAAGTGGAAAGGAATTCCTAAGCGTTTCGTAACTTGCTTGTTAGGCGAGTTAGATATTGGATACCAAATAAGCGCGTGAGTTGTAAATAACGGTGCTGGACGTTGATTATTACTAATAGGTACTTTCATTCGGTTACTCATGTAATTTGTATATGTAGAAACTTCGGTTTGGTAAAGGTAGATTTTCCATGCGCCAAACTCGTGACTTCTTGGAGCTTAAGGTTCATAATGTTATTCATGTAAAATTTTTTAGGCTTTCATCCAACGCTGTCGACGAACCGATCTTGATAAACTTATAAAATTTACTAATCTTCCTCGTGGAGGCCTCAAACAAGATATCCAGTTGAGACTTATTTCCTACTTGGATCAGGACCCTTCGACAGAATTTCTTTCTGCACTTCGTGAGTTGAAGGAGCTAATGTACAGTCCTGTCAGTAAGTTTTTTTGCCTTCACATCACTGTTCTTGTTTTCACATGACTCTTTGATATAGTCTGGACAGCTGGTCCCAGGTAATTGTTATTAGTTTTGCGATCACTTTCTGAAATTGTGTCAACCACAAATTCAGATTCGCTTAGCATAGTTTCCATTGTTCAGTATATTATTTATTTAAAAACCCGATGTTCAGAGTCCCAACCATTTAGCTTTCCAAACTCACTACTGTGTTTATTTATGAAATATCCGCCATTTTAACATGACTTATGAAGCAACGTGAGTGACTGGTTATAGGCTCTGACTACTAAATGACATCCCTTTTGATGAAGCGAAAGACAAGCTGCATGCACAGAAGTAAATTAGAATAGAGGGGATTCGTAGATTGCTAGTATTCTACCGCTAACGTCCTTGAGGCGTTGCTCGTTTCTTTTCTACGACCACCGAGTGAGCGATTCCTGGGTTTGGAATAGAGTACCAGTTAAAGATCGCGAGTCAATTGTTAACGTAGTAAATGTTCATCAGTTGAGTACGTTAGGAAATGTGTTAAATATGCCTGATCACCGATTTCTCTGATGTGCAATGTTGTTTGATGTAGCAGTGGACTCGGGAAGCTATCGGAGGCCAATACAAAACATGGTAATAGTCCATAAGTCCGTTGACAATTGGACTCAGTCATGTTAATAATTGTAGACTACCTGGTCAGGTTCTGTAAGGGAGTCACAGTTGATGGTTAAAGACCTTGAATGACATGGCTCAAAATCGTTTGCTATGGCACAGATGCATCTACTCTTATCTTAGTGCAAATTCCAAGCCTTACTGACTTACATTTTCTTGGATCGTATATTTGATATACAATCTTTCCTATTACCACTGAAAATGTTACTTCTTCCGCTCTGGGATCTGGTTTGATAGTTGCATCTGTTTCTGCTGTTGTATGGGAACTTGAACTGATGTACATCCGTAATAAGTCCTACGTTACAACTGGATTACTGAATAAGCTGTCTATAATGAACTCAGTTTATTGCTTCAACCACTAAATTACTGCATACCAACTGCTTAACTAGACTTTTTCAAAATCGCCTTACTTTTCAAAGGTGACTGCAATTCAGTCCTATAATTGATCGTATCTTTTTAGACATATTTGATCTTTTCATATTGAAATTATGAAAATAATGATCAATTGGCGGTTACCACCTTATGTTTGATAGACCCGATAGTATCATTAGCCGTCACAAAAGATATGTTCCTGGGTCGTGTACGTTGGCAAGTACTTGATCACAGAAATAAACTATTCATCTAGAACAAGAATTGATAGCTTCATTGTTGCATAACGAATGGGTGAAATCAGCGTCTAATACTACTTCTGGTCAATAACGGTGTGTTTAAACCGTTTATTAAGGAGTTTGACTGAGTTTATGCAGTGCTATCAAATATCCAGTTATTTTCTTAAGTTATCTTATGTAAAACCAAAATGATCATGATTGTCATTGGTTTCTAATATAGTCGGTCGTATCTAACTTTTTCATGTATTCCGAACTTATTATTATTACTTTCATTAATAAAACTGGGATAATCCGTATTTCAGATTTGCAGTCTCAACAATCGAATGGATATTCGAACGCATCCTGTCCTTCAAGCGAAGTTCCAGCTTCTCTTATGTATTTAAGTGGCTCTACCATTCGTTCTCCGACAGAATCGTCAAATAATAACACAGGATTGAATCCATGTTTGAAAGTTACGGAAGTAAGCAGTGCTTCAGAACAAGACCAGTTGCGTCACAACCCCTACATTGTACAACCGAATATGAGTGTTTTTGGACCCACCTCTCTAGATGGATTAAATTCAACAAAAAGTGGGCAACAACAATCTCTGCAAAAAGATTCATCCACTCAACTCCCACAGAGCTCAATGTCTTCAGGGAATCTTACGATTAACTCATCAGTTTGGACAGCTTGGGACTCTGTTAATCAATCGTTATCTCAAAATCGTGTAACGACATCTCAGTCTTGCATATCAGGGAAGTTTCAAAATTTGAGCAATCCTAATCAAACCTATGGTACCTCCTTTCTTCCTATTCCATCCAATTCAAGTATGTCAGATGGGCATTCAAAAATGCATGTGCAGTCTGAATATCCTCAAAATTCAATCCCTACATCCTGCATAGACTCAAAAAGAGCTACTGTCGCACACAAGATAGGTCCACTTATAACATTGGCTGGAGGTAAGTTGCAGATTGTCAAAATATTTTTGTTTGCTTTTTTTCTAAAGCGTGTTAATCAGATTTTGCTGCTGTTGATTTATACATAGTTATTTGTGGATTTTATTTTTCTGTTTATTTTTATGTTTTAGAAATTCAAGGTATCTTAAATATTTATTGCTTAATAGGGAAACGTATTACACAGTTTAGGTCGAAGATGTATACCAGAAAAAATGCATTTTTAACGTAGTGATAGCAAAGTGATGTATTGGAAAGAATTATAATGTAACCAGAAACAGATTTCATATCCATCTGAAATACTCATCTAAAAAACATTATAGACGGTTCTATGAAGTTAGCTTTGATTCATAGCGTTTTTATGAGGGCTAGTAATACATTAATACTCAATTGATCGAGTCAAAATGATTGGTGTGGTATTCAAACCTGTGCCATTTTAATTGAAAGCTCAGTTTTACAACAACTAAGTCACTGTTCCAAAACCTAGATTACACAACATCAATATTGGGTGCAGTGCTATGCGAGTGCATTCCCTTTGGTTTGCATAAACCTGTTGTAGATCTCTAACACTACACACCTCTATTGCCCGGACTTTTGGAATAATAAGAAAATCTGATATTTTCACTCATCTCATCACCCATAATATTTACGCTTGCCAATTGTGTAATCTTGAGCGTGCTTTATACACGTATGTATGTCTGTATACTCATTCGTATCTCTTTCATGCTCATAGTCTGGTTCACCGACTATGCACTGACTTAGCTATTTCCTCCCCTCTAGTTCCCATGCATTTCTTTTCATTCCTAGTCGTTATCCTGTATTATCAAATGTCGGAGATGTACGTTCCTCAAAAACCAAAACATAGCACAAATTTATGAAGTCACTGACAACTGGACTGAGCCATGCTAGTAGCTATAGACTACCTAGTTGGGGTTCACGAGATAATAGTAATCGATAGCTAGAGACTGTGAATGACATGGCTCAAAATAGTTTGCAGTGGCAGGGGTACATCCATTCTTTATGTTCCTTCAAATCCTAAACTTCTGAATTCCTAATTACCTTTTTCTTGAATAGTTTCTTCGAACCCTAGTCTTCTCTATTACCTCCACTGCTCCTACTAACTCTACAACTGTGGGATTTGAATTGAAAATTGCATTTTTCTACTAATGGAGTATGACAACTTGAACTGTTGTACGTGCGAAGTTGTACGTTGTAGCTGACTGACTGACGTTCCTCAAAAACGTTTGAGTCCGACGTTTGGTAATTCAGTTTGTCAGTCAATCAGTTACAACGTAGAACTTCTTACGCAAGAACATCAGTTCAGGTTGCCGTACCGCTCGTGCTGGGGCACATGTTTAGATTCAGATCATGCCCTAGTGCGAGCGCGTATTTGTTTGAAGCTTACTGGGCGTAGGAAAGACACCGTAAAAAAGCCTCTTAGGGTTTTACTTGATGATAATAAGGCGAAGAATATATTTCAGGAACAACTAGAAAGACAGTTAGGCGACTATTTAAGCAATTCCCATCCGAAGACAGGTTGGAATGATATCAAAAAGGCTGTCGAAACAGCAGTGATATATGCTAGTAAGGTTGACCATAAGGCTAGAATGAAACCGTGGATCTCAGTAGCCTCCACCGATCTGATGGATGCCCGAAAACTCATCCCACCTGGCTCTGAACATGATGAAGAACGAAGTCAACTTAGGCGCAGACTTATAAAAAGCCTACGTAACGACCGTGAACAGTGGTGGGTGGCGAAAGCGAAAGCAATGGAAAAGGCATCGGCGATCGGCAACAGTAGACAACTTTTCCGACTTATCAAGGAAACTGGTATTAGGAATCCTAGTGTAAGTGAGACTATCTCAGAAAATGACGGGACTATTATTTATTCTCAATCCAGGAGACTGGATCGACGGGCAGAACACTTTAGGGATCAGTTCAACTGGCCTCGAGCCACTCTTCGGTTACCCACGATCTCCAGTCATCCTGAATGGCAAGTCGACCTAAGTCCCCCTAGTCTTAATGACGTTGAGAAAGCGTTAGGAAATGATTTCACTAGTAGGTGAGCTTTCATATTCGTACAGCGGCCAAGGCTATTCTGAAAAACAGAGGCTGACTTCCTCTTCCGTTTATATTGTAACCTTTCACCTGTCTTCTTTTTAAGTATCGGTGTGTCCAATGATGAACACGATACGCTGCAGACACTGTTAATGGGTACATCCATTATTCCCAGTTTTTCTAGCGAATCTAGACCAAGAAGATCAAGGTTTGGCCGTTCTGTCAGATAGCATATTCTTGTACATTTTTTTCCGTTGAAGGAAAATTCACTCTGCATCTCACCAACCAGTTTTAACGCACCACCTGAAGCGCTTTTTGCTGTTTTCTTAGGTGGCTTCATTGGCGGTTTTCCCAGCAAGTTGTACGTTTCTCTAGACATTAAAGTGATATCTGATGCCGTGTCGATTTGAAAACGAGCTGACGCACCGTTCATCTGTATAGTCACATACTTTCTCCGAAAGTCATAGTCTGTTTGGAAAGCAGCTACGAGAGAAAGTGATTTAGACTCGGCTAATTTCACCACATGTCGAGTACGTTTGTGCTTCTTCTTGGGCTGAGACGTACGATTTGGTTGACAATGGCCTTCTTTATGTCCACGTTTGTTGCACATCTGACATTTATGTTTTTTAAATGGACAGGACCGTACGTAGTGCCAATCACCACATAACCAACATGCCTAAATGCAAAATGTTTTCTGCTTCTGAACTTTTAACCTAGTAACAGCATTGACACTACTGCTGGTTAAATTGGGATTTACCTGTTCAATCAACACGTCGTTTCTGATACTTTGTAGTCGTTTACACTCATCTATCAACGTTCTGAGTGTAACGTTCGGATCTTGGTCCATTCGAATCAAAAGTCTAGTTTTGATTTCAGAATCTTGCGGTGACTGAAGAGCTTTGGTGAATATTAAGCATTTAAACTGGTCTTCTGTCAACGAGCGTAACTTGAACCGTTCACATTCTCTGTTGACGGTGTCTGCAAGAACCGCATATTCATCATCTTTGTGTTTCACCAGATTTAGACACTGATATCTAATACTAAACAATGACGATGATTCGCCGAAAATATCTGACAGCTGAGTTACTGTCTCCTCGAAACTGAGCTCTCGAGGTAACTTCGGTAGTATGTGGTCAGCGTAACGTGCATACTCATTACTTCCCAACTTACGCAGCAACAATCCAGTCTTCCAAGCATCGTCTTGTTTACCGAATTCCATTCTAAGTGTATCTTCCCAACGTTTGAACCACGTCAGAAAAGTATTTCCACATTCAGGATTATAGACGAATTCTGGTATGCTGTTTGCCACTGCTTCACAAGACGTATTTAAAATAGTATGTGGACTCGAACACTGGACGTTGAGCTGTTGAGTTAGGGTCTCCAACAACCGCATTTGTGCATCCAATTGTGCTTGCTGTTGTTGTTGGGAAGCTTCTGGATAGAAATTCACGTGATCTACTGGATTAGATTTAACCAATCAGCACGCAGCTAACAGTACGAGAATCTTCTACCCTGTTCTCCAAGATTCGATCGGGATGATATCAAAAAGCCTGTGGAAACAGCAGTGATATCTGCTAACAAGGTAAATCATAAGGCTAGGAAGAAGCCATGGATCTCAGCAGCATACACCGTACTGATAGACGCTCATAAACTCATTCCATCTGGCTCTAAACATGATGAAGAGCGAGGTCAGCTTATGCGCAGGTTGATAAAAAGCCTACGCAATGATCATGAACAGTGGTGATTAGTGAATAAACTACTATTCAGACTCATCAAGGAAACCAGTATTAGAAATCCATCTGTTAGCGCAACTATCTCAGAAAAGGATGGCTGTATCATTCATTCTCAATCCAAGAGATTGGATCGTTAGGCAGAACACTTTTGAGATCAGTTCAGCGAAGTGGGATGCCCCGTGTTTGCCCGTGACTACGGAAAAAATCATGGTCCTTGGTTAGAAGCGCGAGTGGTCAGAAGAGTTGGGCGAGTTATGTACGAAGTAGAGGTAGTAGGTGAAAGGTGGTCACGCCATCGAAACTGGATACTCAAACGGCTAGCCCCAGATCATCCATCAAGAGCAGAAAATCTTCCCCTTGACATCCTGTTTGATACCTTCAACCTACCGGCAGCCCCACCACGAGAAGAAACTCAACAACACTCTGATCTCCGTTCCCGAAGGTATCCTCTCAGACAGAGGCGAACAGCATTCAAAATGCAAGTCAACCCCAGGAATGCACGCTATTAAAAAGGGGAGGAGTGTTGGGGGTGTTAGATCCCCAGAACTCGCTTGAAAAATGTCTTTATTTCGGTTTTATTTCATGGGCTGATCAGTTGACCTCGAGGTTACATTTCCCACCGGGAAAATCCTTGGTTGTGATTGGGTACTGTGTTATTTTTGTGTGCTATTCTGTGACTCTCCCAAGGACGTCTCTATGGTGAGCTTGAATTCATTGTATGCTGGCGAGGTGTTTGTAGAATACGATTTCTACACTATATCAAGACTTCTTGCTGATACCTTTTGTTCAAGGGATCCGAGTAGCCTACCTGGACACTAGTTCATTGTTTTTTTCTCGTTATTCGACTAAGGTGAACCCGTAATAGTTTTAAACATACCTAGCCACTTCGGTTGATTCCTTCGAGTCATAGTGAAGTCGAAAATGCTATAGGAAATCTTAAGCGAGGTAGAGCAGTAGTAGGGCCTGATAAGCTTACCTATCAGATTTTTAAAGATGGCTGTACAGTTTTAGCAGCTAAATTGACTGAGATCTTAGTTAGAATCTGGGAACTGGGCGTAATCCCATCTGACTAGTCTCAATCACTGATTGTCCCAGTCTACAAAAGAGGAAAAACGTCCTATTATGACAATCACAGGGGAATCAGTCTTACTAATATGGTATCTCAACTATTAGCCTCAATAAAACATAGACGCCCAAATAGAGCTCGTGAAGAGCAGACTTGAGAGAACCAAGCTTATGGCGAACTGTCATCGGTAACCTTTACTTCAATCGGTGTCCGTTAGGGCTGTATACTCTCCTCATTCCTTTGTCGTAGACATGCTTTTAGAGTTAACTTTATCTTCATCTGATTTTTCAGGAGCAGACCTACCAGGAGACACGCTTGCTGACTCAGGGTATGCCGATGACATAGTTCTGTTTGGTGAGGACGCTGACAAAATGCAGAGTCTTCTGACTACTCTAAGCAACAATGTAATCATATTCAGCATGCGATTCTTCCCCTCAAATTGCAAAATGTTGCTTCAGCATTGGCTTTTATCGGCACCTGAACTAGTGATAGGGAGTGAAGCAGTTGAGCGTGTCGACCGCTTCACTTATCTTGTTAGTCTGATCAGTGCTGATGGTCTGGTTTGTGACGAAATCTCAGCACGGATACAGAAGGCTTGACTAGCTTTTTTCAACTTGCGCCACTTCTGGCGTAGGATAGAGATATCAGTTCGCTAAGCAAAGGACGAGTGTACTGTGCAGTAGTTCACTCCATCCTACTTTATGGCTTTGAAACATGTTCAGTTAGATTAGAAGATATTCGTAGGTTGTTGGTTTTAGATCATCGGTGCCTCTGAAGCATTGCGTGTGTATCCTGGGATAACTGAGTAAGCAATGCAGTTGTTAGGATACGGGTCCTAGGTAAGGATGGAAGATCAATGGATGAAGAAGTGAAACTTCATCAGTTGAGGTGGTTGGGACATGTTTTGCGTATGTCTAACCATCGACTGCCTCGTCGAGCTGTGTTTTGTGGTGTAGGAATAGGTCGGAAGAAAGAAAGTGGCGACCAAATCGAAACATGGCAGAAATCCATGAAGTCACAAGTGGACTGCTTCATGTCGGTAGGTGTCGAGTACCTGGTCGGGCTCGCCAGATGATAGTATTTGATGGTTGGAGACCCTGTATGAACACAACTATTGTAGGACGCGTAAATGTGTCTGTGATCCAGGACCTGTCTTAGTGTGAAAATGTGGTCTATACATCCATGTCCAGGTCGAAAACCAGACTGGTTTTCTCTAGTCTGCTCTTCACGAGCACTAGTAAGGCGTCTAAGTATAATCGTGGCTAACATTTTAGAAACTATATTAGTTAAACTGATTCCCCTGTGATTGTCACAAGAAGACTTTTGTCCTTTCTTGTAGATTGGGACAATTAGCGACTGAGACCAGTCGGATGGGATTACGTCCAGTTCCCAGATTCTACCTAGGATCTCGGTCAGTCTAACTGTCAAAACTGGACCACCATCCTTATATATCTCAGGAGTCAGTCTATCAGGATCTGCTGCTCTACTTCGCTTCAGATTTCCTATAGCTTACTCAACTTCGTAAAGACTCGGAGGACTTACATCGAGTTGCCGTTCAGGATGACTGGGGATCGTGGGTAACCGAAGAGTGGCTCGAGGCCAGTTGAACTGATCCCTAAAGTGTTCTGCCCATCGATCCAGTCTCCTGGATTGAGAATAAATAATAGTCCCGTCATTTTCTGAGATAGTCTCACTTACACTAGGATTCCTAATACCAGTTTCCTTGATAAGTCGGAAAAGTTGTCTACTGTTGCCGATCGCCGATGCCTTTTCCATTGCTTTCGCTTTCGCCACCCACCACTGTTCACGGTCGTTACGTAGGCTTTTTATAAGTCTGCGTCTAAGTTTACTTCGCTCTTCGTCATGTTCAGAGTCAGTTGGGATGAGTTTTCGAGCATCCATGAGATCGGTGGATGCTACTGAGATCCACGGTTTCATTCTAGCCTTATGGTCAACCTTACTAGCATATATCACTGCTGTTTCGACAGCCTTTTTGATATCATTCCAACCTGTCTCCGGATGGGAATCACTTAAATGGTCGCCTAACTGTCTTTCTAGTTGTTCCTGAAATATATTCTTCGCCCTATTATCATTAAGTGAAACCCTAAGAGGCTTTTTTACGGTGTCTTTCCTACGCCCAGTAAGCTTCAAACAAATACGCGCTCGCACTAGGGCATGATCTGAATCTAAACATGTGCCCCACAACGAGCGACTGTCTTTTATTGAACTCTCCATCGGTGGCTGATGGCAATGTGATCCAGTTGGGTCCAACGTTGAGACGACTTTGGAGGTCGCCAGGTCAACAGATGCTTTTCCTTATGCCTGAAGTTAGTGTTTGCTAAGAATAGACTGTTGTCTGAGAATACTTGCAACAGACGGTCACCGTTGTCTGTTCTCTGAGCCGCGACACGATAGCACCCACCTAGGTGTCTTTCATTTTCACTTAGTCTACCTACCTTAGCATTAAAGTCACTAGCCTTTAATACTATGTCAGAGCGCCTAACTTTTAAGAGGAGTTCCGAAAGCTTTCTGTAAAACTCATCTTTTACCTCGCCTGAACTGCAGTCAGTGGGGGCATAGGCAGATACGACGAAGAGGCAACGACGGGTGTTCCTATCTTTACGAGTCCTTACTGTCCTGTTCAGTCGGACGGCACACAAACGACTGTCTACAGGGACCCAGTCTAGGTGAGCTAGTCCTGCCCTACGACTCAACACTATACCTACACCAGCGAGACCCCTGGAAGCAGCATCAGGGCTACCGGATACACGAAGAGTAAATCGAGCTGCTTCTTTATTTTGACAAGGTGAAATCAAAGTAATAATTTTACTAGGATCCTGTATGCGCGTTTCCGAGACGCAGAACACATCGATGGCACGAGATTCTAAAGTCCTAGCTAATGATGCCTGTTGCCCTATTTGACACAATGTCCGTACATTCAATGCTCTAACATGTAGTTTGGAACGGGGTTTAAGGAGACCAGCAATGACGTTTCGTGAACTCGCATTGTTTGCATTAGCGGTGCCGTGAGATAAGAGAATCTGAGTAGAGCTAGTTGCGGAGAGAAGAGAGGTATGTGTGGGTGTAGGAAGAATTTGATTTTGACCAATTTGGTCTCGTGTGCTGTTACGGGTATGAGGGCGGTTGTCACTTCCCCGCTGCCCACACAGTGGAAGGTTGTTTCTTGAGGGACCTGAAGAGGAAGATAAATTAGTGTTGGTCTTGGAGACTTGGGAGCGTGACCTCAGAGTCCAAGGGACAACTGCTTGATTCCGGTCACGCGCGGCCTTTTATGAAGGGTTTTTTGAGTATTAGCCTCGCTCTTGAAATCCCTTAGTGGGCACCCTTACCGCTGGAGATGGAAATCCGTGAGATAGGGTGAGGTGTGACATTTTTAGGGTCGACCTTTTCTAACCCTTCCTTCCTTGTGAGAAGGCAGCATCGCTGCAGATGCTGGTTGTCTGAGGGAAACACCTTACTGCTGTCACACCACTCTGCAGTCAAGCAGTACGACTTTGCCCTCAGACCTCGGGTAGCTGGTTTTAGTCTCATCGTCCTCCAGTCGACCTGCTTGGCATGGTAGGACCTGCAGGAACATATGTTGCAGCCAGTATAGCTCGGTTGGATCATGACGATAGGCAAGCCGGACCACCACGTGAAGGTAGCAGCTACGGTCGGGGATATTATCTAACCTTCCTGGCTGAAACAGCTGTAATGGATGTTGCTATATAGTGGTCTATAATTGTGCATACACCGCTGAATTATGACCTAACAGTTAGAGGACTGAAACGTGAACCAATTAGGTCTCATATTCGAGCCTTACTTCACTTGCTTTTGTCTGGCTAATCCTTCAGTACCACTATTCCTCATACATATGGTGCTACTCAAAGTTGATCAAACGAGTTATGTTTAAAATGGGTGAATTTCTTTTACGGTATTAGCTACAAACTACAGTTTTTTTGAGAACGTTTTTGTATTGAGAAGTATCAACACTGTCTGGAGTTATTTCTAGTCACCGATGTTTAGGAGACTGTCTACGATAGTATAATGAAAAACGGATGCCTATTCGTGGAGTTTCTCGTTATGACCTTGCCAACAAGCCATTGAGAACTTTAGAAAACTAGATCTAAGTTTCAATTTCGAAAAAAATCTTTTAACACCACTCCCCACCAGGAACAAGTCATTATAACGAACATGAATTTTACGTACCTAGAATTTCTTCATGCTAACTTCTAACTGCTTTTTTCATTCAGTAACCAAAAGTTACAATGTACCACTAACAAAAATGCTCTAGTTTTAAAACTTTAGTCCCATAGTATTTTGGTCCACTGGTATTATAGTGTTAATCTAATCATAATAAAGTCAATAGATGAATTAAATAGTTATGTATGTAAATGCGTCCTTTTTTATGTGATTTTTCTGTATGCAATACGCATTACAGTATAAATTGCTTAATATTCTTGAGATTCTCAAAAGTCAATTTAACAAATGTTAATGAATTTTAGTTGGCGTGGAGCTGATGAACGAATGGAATTTGGAGTACAAGTGATTATGCGTTTCGCTCGTTTAGATCCTCAATCCTGTCAAGATTTAGTACAAACATATGAGTTGTCTGGTAGTCGCAAGTCATCTAGTTTGTCATTGAATAAACTCATTCAAATACCATTAGTTGAAGACAGTTTACCAGTCCATTTGATAATCCAAGTAAATGGTCGGCCTATACAACTCCCACCTCTTTTACCAAGTAATCGTCCAGGAATGGATGGACGTCGTAATCCTAGACCTATTAATATCACTCAGTCTGTAAGTATATTTATTTATAATTATAATTGTGAAACATATGTAAATTAACCAGGTTCGTTTTGTTTCCATTGGTGGATTTGAAATTAGCATTTTTTTGTAGATTCACTTCTTAGTGAAAAATCTTAGAAGACTTAATAAAATCATAAGCCACATTTTTAGAGTTGTTCTATAATACACTGATTGTACATGACTTTATTATCTATAAATTGTGAAATAAATAACAGAATATCAGGTTGTTACATTTGAAAGTATTCCATCAATCGTGTATTTCAGTTGCCAGATGTAGAATGCTAAGAGGTTTCATATATATTTGACTGAGAGACAGCTAATCTTAGTTTTATCTTCACTGAGAAGATAATTTGAATGGATGTCGAAATCTCTTAAAGTTGTTTTTATGATTGTTATTCTTCAATAATAATCGTAAAGCTTGAGGGTATTTTTGGTTACAGACATGGACAGTCAGTCAGCTACAACGTACAACTTCGTACCTACGTACATCAGTTCAAGTTTCCATACCACATTAGCACATAGCCGTAACTGTGATTTGGAATCCCACAGTCGCAGAGGTAGTATCAATATTAGGGGTAATGAAGAAGGTAAGGGTTCGAAGAAATTATTACAGAAGTATAATCCAGTGAAAGAAATTTGAAAAGAGAACGGCGAAGGTCACCAGGAATTCAAACTAGAATAAGAAAACAAAGAATAGATGCACCTGCGCCATTTCAAACAATTTTGAGCCATGTCATTCAAAGTCTCTAACCATCGGTTACTATCGTCTCGTGGATCCTAACCAGGTAGTGGACACCTACCAACATGACTCAGTCCACTTGTCAGTGACTTCATGGATTTGTGTCATGTTTTAGTTCGGCCACCCCTTATTTTTTTCAGCCCACTCCTGCATCACAAAACATCGCTCGTCAAGGTAGTTGGTGGTTAGGCATACACAGCACATATCCCAACAACCTCAAGTGATGAGGTTTCAATATTGCATCTACTGATCTGCCATCCTTATCTAGTACTCGTTTCCTAACACTAGCATTGCTTACACTGTGTTTACGGACATGGGCACCAACTGGAGAATTGTCAAAAGCTAGGGGGTCCCTAAAATATACTTGACAATGACAGTAGATAATTATCGTGTTATGCCGAAAATTGATTGAAGCCGGTAAATCCCTAGTTCACACTAGCCTTTAATGCTGTCGTACTCACCGTGAAACCTAAAGGTTCTGGGTTTAATTGGAATGTGAATATTTGCACTTTAAGTGTCTTTTCGCCACTATGATTTTTTTTCAATGATTATGCCCCACTAAATGTGTACATGTTAAAAACCGTCAATAACCCATGCAAAATTCCAATCAGCTACCAATCACAACTTTACGAAGACAATACCAAATACCTCTTAATATTCTCTATTATTCAGACTTGAAAAGTCTTGTAATAATGTATACAGTATGATAACATAATAACTCCTTGTTTGCCAAACTTGAACATCTGCGTTAAAAAAACTGAGTACTATGTTAATTATTTATGTACTGTAATTTATGAACAGAGGAAGATATAACAATGGCTAATGCGCCAAATAGAAGCTTATACGTAGAACAGTATCAAACTATCATAAATATATTTCAAAAATTTAGTTATTCACTGAAGGAGTGGTTATCAAATTTTATCATTTCTACTTATTCACCAATTTATACCACTTGCTTAGCTCTTTAAAAAAGTTAACTTAATTTCGACATAGGACTATGATATGAAATAATCGGAAAAATAGACTGCAAATTTATCCAGTTAGACCATAATAAATCTATCAGTATAGAGTTGTGGAGATTGTCAAGTTTCATTGAAATCAAAATTGATCAATGCTAGACCACCATTGAAAACCTGAAAGCACGATATTGTAGATTGATTGAATTTGAATATTAACACCGTTGTATACACCAGCTCAGTGGTGTTCGCATGTGAAACTAGAAGTCCTTAGTCCTATTCCTGCTTGTGTGTTCATGAATGTCCACTTCTGATGAGTCTCATACTGAAGTGAAACAACTGTCCAGTGCTTCCAGGTTTTCAGTGGTGGTCTAAAATTGATCAGCTGATGATTTCAATGAAGCTTATGATAATCTTGTCCGAATTTAAAATTATCTCATACTTTTTCAAGGTTATCCTTTAATTCAACTGTCTTGACTGAAATTTAATAATGGAACTAGGAATAATATTTTGATTTTTGGTTGATGTACAATAAATTTGGCTTTTATTTTTGTAAACATTCATACTAGCTCCATGTTTCCCCTACTGTTCCGAACTACATTAAATTGACTTGGACTCATGATTATGCTAGCTATACTTATAATGTTGTTGGAATATACTTGATGCGTAGACGTTCACCTCAACAATTATGTGGTCTTTTACATTCGACTTCATTTCAAAATGCAAATGTGATGAAAGTAAGTTTTTTTTTTATTATCTAGCAGTGATTAGTGTTTATATTTTTAAATTTAAACTGGTGCATATCAACAACAAATAAGAGTATCATGGATTTTCCCGACAAATTCATTGAATGGTATTTTAAGTTGTATTGAGTGCTATAAACAACTACCTAGTTGAAGTCCAGTGTTTATAGACCTTAGGTGAAATGTCTCATATTTTTTCACAGTGGAGTAAATGTATTTTTTTTTATTAAGAAGTTTGATGAGTGGTATAGTAGGGCTGGTTTTAAGACTGCTATAATGAATGCATGCAATTCAAATCAAGTGGTAAAATGCAGTGGTACAATGTGGGTAGTAAGATGTCAACAAATTGGGCATGACAGTCAAGTTCCAATTGATTAGAGGATGAATTACTAATATATAATTACCCATTAAAGATTTGTCACATAATCATGTGTATTTTCTGTCCATTTTCTGCATATAAACATTTTATTTTATTACATAAAGAATCTGCACATTTGGCTGGTGGTGATATTGTCTTCAATTTCAAATCATTCGTGAACCTAGGTCAATAATACAATTTTATCAGCAGCTATCACTTAGCCACAAGATATTTCGGCCATGTGTCAAAGTAGCATTCTACTTGTCACTTTATAAAATCGAAAGTTTTGTCTCTTAAGTCACTAAAAACTTCCTTTAATAGTAATCGAGTGACAGCTGCTCACAAAATCGGACTATTAACTCGACACCTCAAATTAATTGAGATCAAAGAAAAAACTGTTAGCCAAAATAATAGGTTTTTTCATATATATATATGCAGATTATTATCGACATAAGAGTGTTCAAATGTCGTAAGGGGTTGTAGAAAACCAGTTTCGTATGTCATTGATTTTATTGTTCATTTTTATTCTTTATGATTATACACTGCTCACTAGTGTAAATGTTATGCACTAATTGAACATTTCTGGTTTGTATCTTGTGCATTTTATCTCACTGTGTGTTGATGGCGGTGGTTTACTGTGACATTTTGAACTGCTGTTTATTTTGATGTTTGTTTCCCAACTAATTGTTCGCATTTAGAAATAAATCTATTATCAATTGTAATTGATTAGCAAACCTGTTTATTTCTTAAGACTGATTAAATTACAAGCAAAACCTTTATGGCAGCCGTAATTTGGACGACTAGTTCTGGTTTTCTTTGTCCAAGTTTATTGTACCCACAACTAATTATTATTATTATTATTATTATTATTATTATTATTATTATTATTATTATTATTATTATCAGCTATTAAATGTTGTGTGTGGTTTTCATATAAAATGAGTAATAAGCTTATTCTTAACCATAACTGCTTGGTTAACTCAAATTTATCACAACTAAATGGAAAATTTCGGATATTGTAGTGATTGAAATTTGTTTTATAGTATTTTGCTAGCAATTAATTCTTCGATAGTTTATGTTTCATTTTAACTGCAGTTTCTATCGTTTTTATCTTTCGTCGCTCAGAAATTGTTATTTTTTTAAAAACAAATTTAACTCTCTATTCCGCTTGTATCCTAATATTATAACTATTTGTTTGATTCCCGTGCAGATGGAAATAATAAAAAAACTTAGTCCTAATGCTACTACTGGAAATGTTGGTAGCGTGCACAACCACAGTCATCCTTCAGTCGCTAATGAAAATAATGGTGATGGTGATGATGATGATGACGATTTAGTAATGCCAAATACACTTCCTGTTCAACTTCTTTGTCCTTTATCTAAATGTCGTATTGAAGTACCTGTACGTGGACGTCATTGTCGTCATGTTCAGTGCTATGATGCAACAACTTATCTTATAATTAATGAACGTAAACCAACTTGGAATTGTCCCGTATGCGATGGTAAAGCCGTTTACGAAGATTTAATAGTAGATGGGTCAGTCTGTAAATATATGATTAGAATTTATTGTTACTTTACCAATAGTATTAAACAAAAGTTGATTGAATCATATTGTTTTGTGTATGGAATATATGCCAAATCGTCCGTACATTGTTTTGATTTTAGTCGAATTCTATCTATCAATCAATCAATGAAATAAGACTATTAATCTCGTAGTCTCGCTGGGTTGTTGCATTGCTTGCTATCGATTTTTCAAAAGTTCGATTGACTTGTTTCTAATAGGAAGAATAATGAAGATGCAATAGGAACTTACGTTGCGCTTTATTCATGTATGAACCGATCCACTGCTGACTAATATTTTTCATAATTCAAGACCAATTCAGCTTAGTCGTGCATGCTTAGAATGCTCAAAGTATTGGAACAAGAATGTCCAAATTGTAATTCATGTAGATCTATTATATCAATTAATTAGCAATAGACTGGAACAGGGCTAAACAACTGACTATCTTAATTAATTCCTGGGATGACCTTCAGATTAACCAGCCAAAAATCAGTCAAGCAGCATACAACTCTGGTAAATAAGATCTACATGACGAAAAAACTGAAATTACAAAGAATGTAGTTTCGTGATGCTAGCAGCCTAACTCTGGTATCTTAATGTAATACTGTGGTGCTGTGGTGCGAACTACTTATAAGTAGTATATAGCGTGAGTGTCAACGTAAAGTCTGGTAGCATAATATGGGGGGAAGATCAAGAAAGGAAGAGTCAGAAAACAATGGAATTTGTATGAAACGCATGAAGAGTGACAATGGATTGATGTTTGGCAACAGGAACAGTCCAGTTCCATAGGATGAACTGATCTTTTGCAAATGAACGATTTACGATATGGTTTTCCGATTTTACTGACTAACTCTGTAATTTTCGTTAAATACAATTCGGTTGCCCCCACCTGTGTTCTCATTCACTACATTTGGTGTCGCTGCCTGCTCGAAGGAAGGGGCTCCCGTGGCCGAAGGAGTTGCAGGACGGAGATTGGCGGAGCTTCCTGGAGGAGTTTGGGGCCACGGTGGAGCTGGTGGGGGCTTGGGGCGGAGTTGACGGTGCTGGGGACGCTGTGGGGAGGTGAGGCGAAGGCGGTGCACGACAGCCTGGACGGTGCCACCAAGGAGACGGCGTGGGAGACGGTCACCGGGCGGCTGATAATGGAGTTCGACAGCCCAGCGGACAGGGAGGAGGCGCCGCAGAGGTTCCGGTTGGCGCGGCTGTCGGCCGATGGTGACCTGTTGGTGCTTGCTGTGGAGCTCACCGGATTGCGCCGTGAGGAGTGGACGGGGCACAGTCTTTGGCGTCGCAATTTATCGAGTGTGTGCCTGCCGCCGTGTTCCAGCATCGGGAACTTGTGGACGCTACACGTTGGATAGATGCCGTATCCATTCCAGACCAGTGATCAAGAACGATGACCGAAGTGGTAATCCGGCATATTGTAGCGTGTCACGGAATACGGAAGGTGATATTAACTGACCAGGAGCTCTGTTTTGAAGGACCACGACGACAGCTGATTAAAAGGGGGGACGAGTGTGGTGCTGTGGTGCGAACTACTTATAAGTAGTATATAGCGTGAGTGTCAACGTAAAGTCTGGTAGCATAATATGGGGGGAAGATCAAGAAAGGAAGAGTCAGAAAACAATGGAATTTGAATGAAACGCATGAAGAGTGACAATGGATTGATGTTTGGCAACAGGAACAGTCCAGTTCCATAGGATGAACTGATCTTTTGCAAATGAACGATTTACGATATGGTTTTCCGATTTTACTGACTAACTCTGTAATTTTCGTTAAATACAATTCGGTTGCCTCCACCTGTGTTCTTATTCACTACAATACTACTGTTTACGAAATCAAGCAGACAAAAAGTAAATGTCTGGCGCTTAAACCTAGCTGGTGGGTGCGGGTAATTCACCTAAGAGAGTTGGAAAACCCAGATTCCAAACCATTGGTGCATAGGGTCTCCAGAATCATCAGAGAACGAATGACGTGTGAACCTGTTATTGTTCACTGACTGCTATATGACAGCGTTTCCTTACGTTATTCGATTGTCTTGTGGACTAGACCTCTATCAAAAGCTCGGTTAATGCATTCCTAACAAAATTACCTGTTTTGGTTTGGGAACCTGGGCAGTATCCCAGCCCACACACAAAGTCGCTGGTTTGTATGGCTCATAGATACTTAGCTTTCTCTTTGTACCATTACTTATTCTTAAGTAGTAATAGACAAGGCCTCTAGTTTAGTTTAGTTCTACCACCCTAACCGAAAGCAATTCGAGTTCTTAGAAATATTTCTAGGTCCATATAGGCGTTAAGAAAGCTAGTAATTCATATTCATATGGGACTAATGAATTCCCCTCAAAAATATAATCCAATAAATTAAAGTTTGTTTTAGGATTAGACAGGTTTATAATTTACGTATAGCACCGATTCACCTGTTATATCCAGTATACAGAAGAGAGACTAAACATTTGACGGTTTTTATTCTTTCATTTTTACTGCACGGTGGGAAAATTTTTTTTAATTTTAAATACTGAGCACTACACAAATATGATTTTACTACTCGTTATACATGCTATTTAGATTTTACGCGTAACCTAAACGTCATGTTCTCCATTCTGACTCTTCCTGATACTATACCGTTGTAGTAAATTCATGTGCAAGGTTGAATTGTAACAGAATTGTTTAGATAGCTATTTACCTTTCAACTTCCCTGAACCACCAGTGTAAATTCACAACTTGTCGATGTTTTGTTAGTGCTCTGTTATGCCTATTGGCTTTGAAAAATAATTGTTATCTGAAGCTCAGATAAATGTAAGCTTTTCTACTCATTTACCGGATAGCTCAAAATCAAAAGTTTCGCATTTTAATTTGAATGTCCCTCATTTATTACTTAATTTACAATGGTCATAACAACCAGTGACAGGAATATCTTACTTTCTATCAAGTTTACAAATATTTGTTTTTCATTTATTCATTAAATTTGTCAAGCCGAAATTTTTTGTTGATTACTTTTTGTTAATAGTTTATTTTTGGAAATCCTGAATTCTAAACGTTCTCAAGATCTTGAAGAAATTATATTTCATGCTGATGGTTCTTGGTCGGCTTTAGGCGAAGAAATGGCTTCTAATCAATCAGAAAATGCCAATAATGTTAATAATAATAGTAACAATCTCTCTGAGCCATCTCCATGTACTGATTATAATCAGTTATATAGTTTACAAGAAAGTCCTTATACTTCAAGTCATATTACTCCAAATTCAATCAGATCAGCTACTGATTCAGTTGGTTCTTCTTCATTTGCACCATCATTTAATACTTTGTCTCCTACAAATTCAGTAAATTCATCGTCTAATCCACATAATTCCTATCCTAATACATTACCAACGTCTCCTGCACTCACTGTACGTGCTGCAGCAGTTGCACCAATGATAAGGAATGATGTTAACAGTATTTCTATCCAAAATTCATCTGTCAATGAAACCTCAGTTACTGCTCAACCTTCTCGAGACAAAGAACAAAATCAGCAGATATGTCAAGAGGTTCGTTTTCTGATTATATATACTATGAGTTATGGGTTTACTTCATCGGGGAATCGACACGTAATATGTAACTTTTCGTATCTCGACTTGTGGATAACAGCAAATCGTCATAGTCTTTTGAAATCCATATTCATATGATCATGTGGTCGACTGAGCAGATTTGATTAGCAACAGTGACATTATGTTAGAAATATTGTATGATAAAGTAGTGTGAGGCATTCGTTAATTAACCGCGTAATTCGAATATTAGTTCATCTTTCGTTTTTAGTTAGACGAATGAATATTAATTGAAATTTTCAACATATTTAGCTTTTACTTTTGTCACTGAACACCTAATCAATGTATCGGCTAGATATAAAGTCGAAATCGTGTTGGGATTTTACCGTCACTATTCTAATACCTAAGGGATTAACTGTAGTACATATGCTAAGCGATCATTTTGAATTTGGATCCAGAAAAGCATTTTAACTTATTAATGTTCTTACTTCATTTTGTATATGTCAAGATTGCTAAATTTGCAATAATTTTGCATTGATGATTAATATCATTGAGAGAATTGTTGAAAGCCAGGGAGTTAGAAATGTAGTTTACTGGGTTCCTATTCAATGCCTTTATCTCATTATGTTCATTGTCCTGCATTAGACTGCAACAAGGTTATAGGTGTACACTGTTAAAAAGTCCCAAACAATCACAGGGAAGCAGGTGTCTCATTATATTCGGGTTTGAAATAACTCTTCAGCATTTATTGTTAGTTCATGATGATAATTTATGTCATGGTTATTTAAGTTGAAAAGTATAATTTGTTTCATTTCAATGTTCTTTTCCTTGCCTATTATTATCAGCCTTATTCCTTCACTATCGATTTAACATTGTCTGATGATGAAAATGAACAACAAAGCGTTATAAGTGCTCAAAATACTTCAAGTGAGTGTGCGAATATCACACAAATTTTTTCTCTTTAACATAATCTATCAAATGTAACATTTGACATCTTTTTAAAGAAGTCAATTTTCCGTGATCAAGATACCATCCTCAAGTTATTGTTATATATTACACCAGAATCTTTCATGTTTTATCCGGTACGCAGGCTAGTCATCAGGTTATTTGTTTAAGATAGCATGGATCATCAATAATATTCGGGATCGATAATCTTCGTTAACATACATTCAAAAGCAAATAGATATAACGTTCTTTACTGTTATCCTCTAGTTTGCATTCATTTATATCAAAGGTAGGAGAAAAGAAACAGAAACGTAACTAGTTTTTGGATCGAATTCCCCCATAATTATTGCAGTATTGCCATGCTGTTTTTGATCAAAATTGGTGATAACCAACAAACAAAAAAACTGAAGTTTCGGAGAATTTAGAAAGAAAATTCAACCCACTCATCTTTTTTTTTAAGGTTCACACGTAAAAATAATTCTACCTAACCTGGAGAATTTCCGAAATGCGCTTCAATTATTGGGGCTTTGCAAATTACTCAATCCAGATATCTGTGATAACCTTAACAGTAAAAGTTTACTGCCAGTCGAATCCTAAATTTTTGAACTCTGCCATGTTAGGGGGGGGGGACTACTTTCAATCCGTCAGACATAGTTATAAGTATATACATCAACATTTTTCCACTTCATACGAACCAGTAGTGTTTTGTTGAAGTTATTCAGTTTCAACTCTTTAAATTTTCCATTGATGGAATTCGGTAAGTAGCGTTCAAGGAAATGGTAATGGTTGTCTAAATTTCCAACAAAGAGCAAGATTTTTTGACATCAAGCATACAGTCAGTATCAATAATGTACAGTGGTAAATACTGGAGTGTGTCGATTTACTGCCGTCTTCTAAAGCTCGGTAATTAGCTCGTCCAGACAATCGTTACTAACTAGCGTCTGACGGTTTATAAATCAGATGACCTCGAAGTGATGAATACGTTTATTTGGGACACACCACAAAGCGAAGCGGAGAAGCAGTGAATAAAACGAATGAAGTGACGTGAATTGGAGAAGGCTGTTGAGCCAACTCCTTGGATTACAATGCGAGCGAATGAATAGGCGAAGCGCGAAGGAGAAGGCTAATGAGCCAACTCTTTGAGATAGAGCGTGACTAAGAATATATAGTCAGACAAATATAAGACAGACATGCGACAAGCGAAATAGGCATACATGAATAAAAGCGACGAATAGTTGACAAGGTCAAATGACAATTGGGACACGTCATTTGAGCCCATACAAACCAGACAATAATAAGGACGAATGGTACATATAAATTGTTGCAATACAAATGGGCTTGGTTAAATAAATTAATCGAAAGGGCTTAACCAAATTAAATGTAAGCGAACTGGAATATATGTGGAGGCACTACAATACTGTTGAACTTGGTTCACAGACCTAAACCCTAGGAATACTTCGGTTTATGCACCCAGATGGTATCAGTCAGTCAATTGCTACGTAAAACTTCGTACGTACGGACATCAATTCAGGTTGCCATACCACATTAGCACAGAGACGCAATTGTCAGTACAAATCCCATAGTGGTAGAGATAGTAGAAGTATTAACGGTAATGTAGAAGATTAGGGTTCAAAGATATTATTCAAGAAGTAGAATCTAGTGAAATAAAAAGAAAAAGAAAAAGGTGTTAAGGAATTGAGAAGGTTAGGATTTGAGACAACATAATGAATGAATGCACCTGCACCATTGCAAACGATTTTGAGACATGTCGTTCAAGGTCTCTAACCATTGGTTACTTTTGTCTCGCGGACCCCGACCAGGTAGTCGACACCTACTAACATGACTCAGTCCACTTGTCAGTGACTTCATGGATTTCTGCCATGTTTTAGTTTGGTCCTAGACCACAAAACATCGCTCGTCGAGGTAGTACATAATTAACGTTATAAGATGTGTGACTGAAATCTCGATCAAATGATGCCGTTTCTGTTTATCGATTATTTGTGTTATTCGTTTTTGATCAGTTCAAAATTTCAGTTAATCGAATTAACTACATAGCAAATATGTTTTTTATGTGTGTTATTAGTGTTACATAGCTAGAGTTGTTGTCCATGATTACTGTCGTCCGTCCTTTGTCCAGCGGACAGAGTTGCTGTAGCACATCTAGACTTAATATACCTCTATTTGTTAATTCATCAATTTATTTATTTGTGAATTGTAGAACATTTATTGAAATTAATTATGACATTATTTACTTGATCAGTGTACGTGATGTTGATATTTTATACATTAGGCTTTTCAGCCATCTGCTTTGAAGTGGCATCGTATACATTCAGTTCTCTGTTTATCTCTGTCACATACACACACACACACACACACTTTTTTTCGCTGGTTGAAAGTATTTCCTTCCTATGTTTGATATGCTTTCTTTTTTGACATGTCTCATTGCTATACAATTATACAAGTTGACTGTTTGTTCTGAATACTTGTGAATAATTCTTTGCAACTGGTGGTGTTTTAGTGTTTCTCATTCATTGTTAGACCTGATGACATGGAGGCAATTAGATGTTTAGCTACATTATATTCGTTACATATTTCATTGATAATTTATTATTAACATTACTTTTTACACTATTCAAGTGTGATATAACAGTTCCATATTGTTTATGACAAAATGCAGAGTCTTCTGACTACCCTAAGCAACAATCCAAGCATGTTCGGGATGCGGTTTTCCCCCGTCGAAATGCAAAATGTTGCTTCAAGACTGGGTTGTATCGGCACCTGAACTAGTGATAGGTAGTGAAGTAGTCGAACATGTAAACCGCTTCACTTATCTTGGGAGTCTCATCAGTGCCGATGGCCTGGTGACTGACGGAATCTCAGCTCGGATACAGAAGGCTCGATTGGCTTTTGCCAACCTGCGTCACTTATGGCGTAGGCGAGATTTCCGTTTGCTGACTAAAGGACGAGTGTACTGTGCAGCAGTTCGCTCCGTTCTCCTATATAGCTGTGAAACATGGCCAGTGAGAGTAGAAGATATTCGTAGGTTTCTGGTTTTCGATCATAGGTGTCTTCGAAGCATTGCTCGTATATCGTGGGACACTCGAGTGAGCAACGCTGTTATTAGGAATCGGGTGCTAGATAAGAATGGCAGATCAATCGATGAAGTGGTGAAACTGCATCAGTTGAGGTGGTTGGGACATGTCTTGCGTATGCCGAACCACCGACTGCCTCGACGAACTTTGTTTTGTAGTGTAGGAGTAGGTTGGAAGAAAGTTAGGGACGGCCAAACAAAAACATGACAGAAATCCATGAAGTCATTGATGAGTGGACTGAGCCATGTCGGTAATTGTCGAGTACCTGGTTGGGGTCGGCGAGATGATAATAATCGATGGTTAGAGACCTTGAATGACATGGCTCAAAATCGTATGCAATGGCGCCGGTGCATTTATTCTCTGTGTTCTCTTAAATCCTAATCTTCTGGATTCTTCAACACCTCTAGTTTTGACTTTCTAAACTTTTCTCACTGAATCATACTTCTTGAGTAGTATCATCTAATGCTAATCTCTCCGATTACTTCTAATTCCCTTACTACCTCTTCTACTATTGGATTTGAATTGACGATTACTTCTCTGTGCTGATGTGGTATGGCGACATGAAGTGATGTACTTATGTACGAAGTTCTGCGTTGCTTCTGACTGACTGACTGGTTTAGTCAAATAATTGATAAAATTTTCTGATTTTAAAATGTCCCAAGAACATTTACTCATTAGTTTATGGATTCTTTTTTTTCACTGATAGATTGTATTCCAGATCTCAACTTACATGATCACATAGGATTTTAAGCTTTTACATAGATTATTGTATTCATTGAATTACGCATAATGTTTTTCTTTTGTTTTTGTTAAATTTTAAACCTATTGACCTTATTTAATACAACATCTCTTATAAAACATATGTTATAACACTATGTCACTTTTCAAATCGATTAAAGACATTTATAATGGTACTAGATAACAAACTAAATAGTATCCGATTAGATGACTGACTGTTTTGTAATCAATTCGGTATACTTAAATAGTTAGTTGATTTCTCCACTCTTTAATGATACAATCATAATAAAGATAAAATTGAATCTTGTTTTTGATTTTAATAATCAGAAGTCTTGTTCTAGTTTTAACAATTGTTAAATAATAATACTCAGTTATCAGCACAAATTTAAATAGTGTTCAATGAATCAATAAAAATTGACTGTATCGTTACTGGACAGCAGGCATCATCAAGCTGTTTTACATTTAAAAAATAAATGAATTATAATTTAAGTGTTCATTTAATTTTTTTTCTCGAAATGTTTCACAGAATTCTTTAATATACTCTAAAACGAAAAAATTTCTTCTTAGGTTGCATTCAATTTCCCGCAAAGGATATTAACTCTTCTTCGTTGCCTATAACTACAGCAAAACCGTATTCTTCCTCTTCTTTATCATCGTTATCACCCCAATTCCCTCCTAGTGACCTATCGCAATCTTCACATCATTCTGATAACACTTATCAACTTCCACTTTCATTACACATGATTAATAAACAGTCTTCAACAACATTATCAAATATATCCTACTCTAAAAGTTGTAATCAGTCAATTTCTATACCGTCTGTTTATTCATCAAAATCAAATTCTACACAATTAGGGAACATTGATCAAAATCTCGGAACTTCTAATGTCTCTGCTACCAATACTTCTTCCAATCAAAGACGTTATCTTCCGGATAATAGTGACCAGGGACAACCTCAACGATCGTCTGCTGATGCACTTTGTTCTGTTATTCAATCAGATGTTCCTGTTAGTTTATCTTCAACTAGTAAGTTCTGTTATTATGTATTACCTATGTATTACCTACCTATAGGCTTTAATTGAAAAGTTTCTTTTTGTTGTTTTAATGGCTGTCGAAACCTGGATTCATTGTATTCCATCTACTCACTTTTTCATTCAAGGATCGCATGAGTAAAAATACAGTGTCCGATGGTTACAGATGGAAAAAACCGAAATAGTTTTAATTAATATACTAACATATATTATTTATTAATGGAGATAACCTAATTATCAATCTGAACAATGTCGTTTTTTTGTGTCGATTATGTGCAGCTAAGATGATCGGAATGTGATTATTAATAGGACGATATAGTTATTTTTATTGCAGTATAGGTTATTCCTCTCAGTATATCAATAAATTGTACACATTTATTTGGTTGTTCATGCTGGTATCAACTGGATTTATGTCAATCGAAGCAAGAGGGAATAATATCCTATCTTTTTCTTCTCTTTTCAACATGATTTCATCACAATTTCGACATATACTTATTTCAGGTGTGATCTCGTCAACGAATGTGTACATGCTTAGGGAACTGTTATAGGCCTGACCGTAGCTGCTACCTTGACGTGGTGGTCCGGCTTGCCTATCGTTATGACCCAACCGAGTTATATTGGCTGGAACATATGTTCCTGTAGGTTCTACCAGGCTGGTCGACTGGAGAGTGGTAAGACTAAAAGCACCTACTCGAGGTCTGAGGGTGAAGTCGTACTGCTGACTGCAGAGGGGTGTGACAACAGTAAGGTGTTTCCCTCGGATAACCAGGATCTGCAGCGATGCTGCCTTCTCACAAGGAAGGAAGGGTTAGAAAAGGTCGACCCTAAAAATATCACACCTCACCCTACCTCACGGATTTCCGTCTCCTTGGGTAAGGGTGCCCACTAAGGGCTTTTAAGAGCGAGGCTAATGCTCAAAAAACCCTTCATAAAAAGGTCGTGCGTGACCGGATTAAAGCAGTTGTCCCTTGGACTCTGAGGTCATGCTCCCAAGTTTCTACGACCAACACTAATTTGATTTCTTTTCCAGGTACTGGGCGTAATCCCATCTCACTGGTCCTAATCCCTGATTGTCCCAATTTATAAAAAAGGGTAAAAGTCCTCTTGTGACTATCACAGCGGAGTCAGTTTAACTAATATTGTGTCTCAGTTGTTAACCTCGAAAATATTTAGACACCTAACTAGAGCTCTTGAAGAGCAGACTCGAGAAAACCAAGCTGGCTTCAGACCTGAACGTGGATGTATAGACTACGTTTTCACACTGCGATTGGTTCTGAAACACAGACACTCGTTTAGATGTCCGACAGTAGTAGTATTTCTCGACCCTTAAGCGGCATATGACTCGGTTGATCGTGAAGTTATATCGCAGTGCCTGTCATTAAAATGTGTAACAAAGATTTACGCCAACCTTATACAAGTTCTGTACTCGAACACCACCACTGGTCAAGATAGAACTTATGGCGAACGTTCATCAGAATTGATTACTTCAAGTGCTTCAGGATTGGCCTGGATCGGCACCTGAACTAGTGATAGGGAGTGAAACAGCTGAGCGTGTCGACTGCTTCACTCATCTTGTTAGTCTGATCAGTGTTGATGGCCTGGTTTGTGACTAAATCTCATCACGGATACAGAAGGCTCAGTTGGCTTTTTCCAACTTGCGCCACTTCTGGCGTAGGATAGAGATATCAGTTTGCCAACCAAAGAATGAATCTTCTGCGTAGTAGTTCACTCCGTCCTACTGTATGGATTCGAAACATGGTCAGTAAGAGTCGATTATATTCGTTGGTTACTATTATTGGATTATAGGTGTCTTCGAACAATTGCTCGTGTATTGTGAGACAACCGAGTAAGTAATGCTGTCGTTAGGAAACGAGTACTAGGTAGAAATGGCAAATTAATAAATTCAGTATTGAAGCTTCATTTGTGGTAGTCGCTACATGTGTTGCGTATGCCTAACCACCGACTGCTTCGACGAGCGATATTTGTTGTTGTAGAAGTAGGTTGGAAGAAATTTATTCCACTGAATTGTACTTCTTGAATAATATCTTCGAACCCCCGAATCTTCTCCATTACCACTAATATTTTAACTACCTCTACGACTGTGGGATTTGAACTCACAGGTACGTCTGTGTGCCAGTGTGGTATGGGCTGCCTGAACTTAAGTACGTATGTAAGAACTTCTACGTTGTAACTGACTACTGACTGACTGACTGAATTTTTATTAGAGAGTCGATGAATCTTCATCTCACTAATCTTTCCTATTATGACTGCGTCCTGGTAATCGCAGTGATTCCCGATGCTTAAGTATTAGTAGTAAGCCTGCAGATCCAACAGAATCACTACATTCATAATAGCGACGACACACCAAATATTCAGAGGTGACTTCAATCATAACTGCAACATTACCGCTGGAAAAGACAAATCTATGTATTTCGGTTTTTAAAGTCATTTCTTATTTCCCTTGTTCGTCTTTATTAGCCATAACTCTTTATAAAAATGGTGTACTCGTCAAGTTTTTAATAAAATATATCTGTATACCTCACAGGCATTTCTACTAGCTTTATATTCACAACTAACTTATCTGTTTTTCAATAAAATTAACATCAGGTGGAGTTAAACGTCCAAGCTCATCAGATCATAGTTTTTCGTCGTTGAATTTCTATCATTCTGGGGAGAAACCCGTAAATAACAATAGTGGATTGCGTTGCAGTTCAGCTGTCCATACTGCATCTGTTTCAAACGAATCCAGTTCGTATTCTCTCCCATCAACCAAAGCACCTCGAATTGAAATTCCGTATAGTCAACACTATGGATCATCTTCGACTCAATCTCAGGGATCATATCCTAATACTAGTTATAATAATTACAGACGATATACAAATAGTCCATCTGGTTCAAATCCTTACACATATCACTCTAATATAACTCGACAAGTACAATCTGATGGATATCATAGTAGCAGACTGACGTCGTCATCATTTCATTCAGGTCAATCATCGGATCATTTTTATCACCATGCAACTACAACAACTTCAAGTAGTCGCCATACATATTTCGATCCTGATGAATCCGGTAGTAATAATAGTAATGATAATCGGACATGCAGCTATTATCCATCCTCAAGACATGTTGGTTATTCCACATCAAATTCTGGAACAATCTCTCCTCATAATAGACAATTATCATCTCATATTCGTAATCCCTATTCATGTTATGAAAGTCACCAGAGAAATGTTACTGTAAGTTCTGATTATTCGAATTATACTTTATTTTAAAAAAGAAATTTACTTAACTTTTTAAATTGTATATCATATTACCCGTTCTAGCCATAAAAAATTAGCGATGCTAATTGGCTTTTTTGGAGGACACTTTATAAAACACAACAATAGCTGTTTTTAATTTCTCTTAGTTTTCTTGGTTAATTATTGCTGATCATTTGTGTGTTATGTAACAGTGGTTTACTTACTATACATTTTTTGTCAGTAAGTCATTGTAATTTTTTTTATTGTTTATTTTTATAGTATAAATGCTTCAGGTTGACTTAAAGTTTTAGCAATGCTTCAAACCTTGCGAAACAACAGCAACAACACATAATCACATCAAACATGAGTTTCACATGGTGATTAGCTTTTAGGTTGCCACTAAACATGGTAATTTAAATAAGAATATGTGTACAGTTATTACAATTGTTTAGAAAAATCGAATTGTTCCATTCAATGTTGATTAGTTGGATTTTAACATGTATGATTTTAAATTACTTGTAATAGCTAACAGTAATTATATTAAAACAAAATGATATATCCGTTTCAAGATTCAATAGGTATCGTCAGTCTACTAACTGAAGTAAGATTGTGCTTCTTGTTTTGTACTTCTGGTTACTACCAAATTATATATAGGTGTTTAAAACTTTAAGTTTCTTCGTATTTCTGAATTCCTTTTCTTAATCTAATCACGTTGAAAATTCCACTTCACAGTATATGATTGTATACTGTATACTGTATATACATGTATACGAACGCGTCGTATTGTTAGACATATCAACATTCTGTTAAGTTATTTCTTGACATCAATTCAAAACAAACAGACCTATTTTCTATGACTTAAACATGATATCATACTAATCAAATTTCCACTAAACTTATTTCAAAACAGTTCAATGTTAAGTTTTTGAATTCTTTTTTGTTTTCGTTACGACAAACAAACATGAAATGATCCGAATTGTAGGAATTTGATTGAAACAGCGTGGGTATTCAATGTATAAGTTTATATAACATACCATTAGTCATGCTTGCCATATGAAGATGGGTGATGTAAACTGACTAATCAAAATCAAGTAACTTCGTCATCACTCGTACTCCCCAATTTCCTGCCGTATCAGGCAGACCGATACAACACGGAACTTCGTACGTATGTGTTACGCCTGCACGCAAACACGTCAACTTGATACACTTGAACTATTAGGAGTTTACCTAGTCGGAAAACGTGAGCGAGGATCGAGGATCCGGCGAAACGACATACTATTCAAATCCGATTATCCCAACCCTAATATTTAGTAAAGTAAGAAGACGCTATATGAAGTAGAACCTGTATTCTACAAGTATCCAGAAAGTATGAGGTCCGAATCCAGAAGAGAATCAGAATCCCGGACTAGGGATCCGGGACCGAGCCTTGGTCCTGGTCGTGGCCATAAATCGTTTCAGATAATGCGTATTTATACATTTTGGTCGAATAGGAGACAGCATCGAATTCTGTGACATTGACAGTTAGGACGACCAATAGGAAGTAACATTTGAAGTGACATTAATAGTCAGGATGACCAATAAGAGACAACATTTAAGTATTTGGCTTTGACAGTTAAAACGACCATAATTTTGACCAATAAAAATCGACCAATAGGATTTGACCAATAATTCTCTTAGGATATTGGATGAATATCCTAACAATATGTACATCAGTTCAGGCCGCCATACCGCATTAACACAGAGATGCAATCGTCAGTTCAAATCCAATAGTGGTAGCGGTAGTAGAAGTATTAGCAGTAATGAAGAAGATTAGGGTCTAATTCAGCAATTCAGCCATCCCTACCTAGTACTCGTTTCCTAAAGACAGCATTGCTTACTCGGTTGTCCCAGAATATACGAGCAATGCTTTGGAGACACCTATGATTGAAAAGAAGAATCTTCGAATGTCCTATACTCTCACCGGCCATGTTTCTCATCCGAATAGCAGGACGGTGCGAACTGCTGCGCAATACACTCGCACTTTGGTTAGCAAATGGATATCTCCCCAATGCCATAAATGACGTAAATTGGCAAAAGCCAATCGGGTCTTCTGTATCCGTGTCCTTCCATATCCCATCCCTAATTTGCACGTTTATCTTATCCAATAAATGTTCATGAATTTCTTGCCGTAACTATCTTGACAACTCATATCTTGATGTATATTTTGTTCACGTGATTCTTATTGTTATAATTATTATTATTGTCTCAGTTAACCAGACAATATTTCTGTTATTTAGCCATTTACTCACGTGATTTGTTTCATTATTATATTGATTGTAACGTCTCATGATATGAATTGTTGCAGCTGTTTTTTTAATGACCTCTTTACTCTTGAAAAAAAGCACAAACTTTCATCGCTTTTAACACATTCTTGTTTCGTTCACTTGTATAGGCCTTGTTTTGAACACTGTAATACAGTAACTATGGCTTGATAATGAAGTTATTAAAAAATAATAAAGCAAATAATTTTAAACTAATTAGACACAGTTTTTTCTTCTGCAACTTTTATATATGTTTTAAGCTAAATTGTTTGGTGGTTCTCAATCAGAATATATGAATAGTGATTGGTAATCTTCACTTAGTATTAGGTGGAATGAAAGCAACCACATTATTTTCAGTCAGTTACAACGTGGAACGTCCTACGTACATACCGCATTAGCACAGAGACGCCATTGCCAGTTCAAATCATGTAGAGGTAGAAATTGTAAGGTATTAGCGGCAACGGAGAAGATTAGGGTCCGAAGATATTATTCAAGAAGTATATTTCAGTGAGATACAGTTAGAAAGAGAAAGATAGAGGTGACGAGGAATTTCGAAGATTAGAATTTCAGAGAAAACGAAGAGTGAATGCACCTGCACGATTGCAAACGATTTTGATCCATGTCGTTCAAAGTCTCTAACCATCAGAGACTTTCATCTCATGGGCCTCAACCGAGTACCCTACATCTACCAACATGACTCAGTCCACTAGTCAGTGACTTCATGGATTTCTGCCATGTTTTGGTTTGGCCGCTGCTGGCTTTCTTCCAACCTACTCCTGCATCACAAAACATCGCTCGTCAAGGTAGTTGGTGGTTAGGCATACTCAGCACATGTCCCAACAACCTCAACTGATGAGGTTTCACTTCTTCATCTATTGGTCCGCCACCCCTACCTAGCACTCGTTTCCTAGCAACTGCACTGCTTACTCGGTTATCCGAAGATACACGAGCAATGCTTCAGAGGCACCGATGATCTAAAACCAACAACCTACGAATATCTTCTACTCTAACTGAACATGTTTCAAAGCCATAAAGTAGGATGGAGTGAACTACTGCGCAGTACACTCGTCCTTTGCTTAGCGAACTGCTATCTCTATCCTACGCCATAAGTGACGCAAGTTGGAAAAAGCTAGTCAAGCCTTCTGTATCCGTGCTGAGATTTCGTCACAAACCAGACCATCAGCACTGCTGAGACCAGTTGGATGGGATTACGCCCAGTTCCCAGATTCTAAGATCTCAGTCAATCTAACTGTTAAAACTGTACCACCATCTTTAAAAATATGATAGGTAAAGTTATCAGGCTTGAGGCGGTGAAATGACCCTGTACTTTATCAGCCTCTTCGCCGAATAGTACTATGTCATCAGCATACTCTAAATGAGCAAGCGTGTCTCCTGGTAGAAGGTCAACTCCTGAAAAGTCAGACGAAGATAAAGTTAACTCTAAAAGCATGTCTACGACAAAGTTAAACAAGAATGGGGAGAGCAGACACCACTTGCAGTAATGAACTCCCATGACAGTTTGCCATAAGCCCTCACTCGACCAGTGGCGTTTGAATGAAGAGCTTGTATAAGGTTAATGTACTTCTTTGGTACACCTTGTAATGACAGACACTGCCACAGAACCTCAAGATCAACATAGTGAAATGCCGCCTCAAGGTTGAAGAAGACTACTATTGTGGGGGCGTTTAAACAAGTGTCTGTGTTCTAGAGCCTGACGTAGTGTGAAAATGGGGTCTACATATCCACGTCCATATCTAAAACCAGCTAGGTTTTCTTAAATCTTCTCTTCATGTTTAGATAAGTTTTTTTTTAAAACATTTGGATCGGTGAATGTAATTCTTTTATTACAAAGTTGTACATCATAAAATTTATCAGTAGTAGTTTAGTTTTGATATAATTACATTAGTGACTTGTAATATATGTATATGATAATTTCTTTTTCCTTTTCATTATTATCATTATATTAGAGTAACCCGTTGACCAGAGACACACTTCAGCATAGTTCACAACAAGTAAAGTCTTCCAATGTAAATAATTCAACGTTTTATGGTAACTCAGTTGATTCACGTAGAGGACTTCATTGAGGCTTTTTTACGAAATCGGTAAAGTTTATGTACATAACATATTTTTTTTATTTAAAAACTGTATATTTATTTAACTTGTGTTCTATGATATATATTTTATGATGTGTTTTATTTTCAATTACAAATTTGTTAGACATAATCAAGTAGTCAATTTGTAATATGAATACATTATTTTTAGATTTGAAGCGTTGTAGTCGTATGTAAAGTCAGTTTTTCTTCGAAAATATAAACCGTGTATAATTCTTAGTTGAACGTCTGGGTATAACGTACACGTAGAGTGAAACTGAAACAACAATGCATTAAATCAAGCTTCTGTGAGGCCACAGATTATGTGTGTTCTAAGGTTTATGTAAAATATGGGGAAATGTGGTTTATTATGTATTGCAAGACATAGAAAATAAATACATCTGTGCGATTACGGTTGAATTTGAAGATTTCCAAATACTGGAATATCCTAACAAATAATATCTCTTAGAATTTTTTAGCTATATGTAACTAACTACTGGTTTTGTGAGTAGTTGATTTGTTATGTTCATTTAGAACATACTTCATACTCATACTGAATATTACTAAAAGATAAACTATTTTTAGCATATATAACGTATCTCAATTATTTCAATAAAACGAACGAACAGACTAGCAACTTCCTTGTTTTTCACATCCACAATTCCATTTTCAACTTAAGAATTCGTTATTCATTATTATTATCAGCTTAATTATGTAGAATCATTTTCATGTCAACAGATATGAGAAAGATAAGCTCTATCGGCTTTTGCCAATCTGCGTCACTTATGGCGTAGGCGAGATATCCGTTTGCTGACTGAAGGACCAGTGTACTGTGCAGTGGTTCGGTCCGTCTTACTTTATGGCTGTGAAACATGGCCCGTGAGAGTAGAAGATATTCGTCGGTTATTGGTTTTCGATCATAGGTGTCTTCGAAGCATTGCTCGTATATCGTGGGACACCCGAATGAGCAACGCTGCTATTAGGAATCGGGTGCTAGGTAAGAATGACAGATCAATAGACGCAGTAGTGACACTTCATCAGTTGAGGTGGTTGGGACATGTGCTGAGTATGCCTAACCACCGACTGCCTCGACGAGCTTTGTTTTGTAGTGTAGGAATAGATTGGAAGAAAGCTAGGGACGGCCAAACCAAAACATGGCAGAAATCTATGAAGTCATTGACTAGTGGACTGAGCCATGTCAGTAATTGTCGACTACCTGGTTGGGGTCCGCGAGATGATAATAATCGATGGCTAGAGACCTTGAATGACATGGTTCAAAATCGTTCGCAATGGCGCCGGTGCATTTATTCTTTGTGTTCTCTCAAATCCTAATCTTCTGGATTCTTCAACACCTCTACTTTTGACTTTCTAAACTTTTCTCACTGAATCATACTTGTTGAATAATATCTCCTAATCCTAACCTCTCCGATTACTTCTAATACCTTTACTACCTCTTCTACTATTTGATTTGAATTGACAGTTACATCTCTGTGCTGACGTGGTATGGCGACATGAACTGATGTACTTATGTACGAAGTTCTACGTTGCATCTGACTGACTGACTGAAATAAGCTGCTGCTATTTTCATTGATTTAGATGTATTTAGCATCACATGAGGTGAAATCATTAGTGAAATCAAATCTATCTGTAACCATAGTTTACGTCGTATATGCCTAGATTTAGAACGGAATGCATGAATCCGATTCAAACCTTGTGTTATGTATTTGGTTTCGTTAATAATATTCTTGAAATCTATTCGCATATATACCTCAATCAGTCAGCTACAATGTAGAAGTTCGTACGTACGTACGTATGTACATCATTTCAAGTTGCCATTTGCGTATATACCTGGTAGCAGCATCTCACCAATTAACTATTTATTAGATAAGTAAAGTGAATTCAAAAGCTACATTCACCTCAATAATCATCAGTATTGTTGTAGATTTTCTATGAATTACTAATCCAACTTATAATTATTGTTAAATTTATTATTGTTTAACTAAATAGTTTTATATTAGTATCATTGTATTTCTTTCAGACTTCTTCAATCAATTAATGATCCCATTCTAAGTGTATTTATATATATTCAACAAATCATGAAAAACAGACAGCAGTGTTTTTTTTTCTTCTTTCTATTCATTGAATGTGTATACATTTTTTTTCTAAATAATTTACTTTCCCCTCTTTCTTGTCAGCAGCAAAAAGATTGACTTGTAAATAGTATATTTCATTATCATTCAAAGATAAAACACTATCTCTCATTCGCTTCTCTTCCCCCTTTTCTTTTTTCCCCAATATATAACAGAATTCACATAGATTATTACATTTGCATTTTTTTTATTTTTTTCTCTTTTCTAGTTTACATGTTGGTTTCTTTTTTTTTTGTTGTTGTTGATGGTGGTGAAAATGATTTTTATTTTTATGTAAACTACCACAACTTTATAATAGTAGTCCTTTTTATCTGTTATAATGTACGCGTATAAAGTCAATCTTTCTACTTTCTATTGCTGCTCACTTATTATACTTTGACCATTGTGTCAGCTGATTAAGTTCAATAAAAAATGCATGGATCAATTAAGAAGTATATTTCTTTTTTAATGCAAACTGTTTATTTTTACTATTCTATTTCTTTCGTTCTGTTTTAATTGAACAATATCCATCCACTTCACCTTAAGAATTATCATATGCAAGTGTACATGTATCATCTTATAAAATACTGTTTTTTTTTTTTAAATGCTGATATTCTAAGTGGTATATTTACATGTGTTACATTAAATTTCTAGAAGGCGCCGTATTTATAATTGCATTTCTTTTTCTCTTTCTCATGTTTATTATTATTATCAGTCTGTTGTTGTTGTTGTTGTTGACTAGGTGCAAAAGAAACACTAATTGACTAAACAAATCATCCTAGTCTAACTTCTCTGCTTCTTTACTTTGCTGTTGTACAAAATTGTTACATCTTTCATTATCAATATTACTATTATTATTATTATTATTTTCATTTCATGTTGTCACTTATTCTAGATCTGATTGTGTAATCATATTCTAAATGGGAATATCTACATTATTATTCTTGTGTTTGTGTTACAATTTTACAATTTTACTTTTTTTCTTTTTGTAAATGTTTTTATTATATTAGTGTATTTCAACTGCGTTGAAAAGAAACACGTGGTTTGTATACAAGAAAAGATTTAAACTTATATAAAAGTGATTTCATTTTTCGTTCAGGTTTTATACTTGTTGAAATACTACTTTGATCATAAGTATTTCTGAATGGATAATTTTAAATTAATTTCCTACAGTCATATCTATATGCGTTTATTGAGTTAAGAAGCAACAGTTTTTTTCTTTTAAATATGTTTAGAAAATTTCTACGGAAGTTCTTTGCAGTGAATCCTCGTTACTTAATAATTGATATAAGTTAATAGTCTACTGCAGCTATTGGTGTATAGTTGTTTAATTTGCATCGAATTTGCGACATAATCTCCGTATGACTAATTTCTACTTAAACATCCAGACTACATCACTATGCCCTCACAGTACTTGCAGTTCACTGTTTATTACATCAAGTGGTCACTGAGTTCGATCTGCATTTAATAATAGTCTTTTATTCAGATCACTAAGAGTCATCACTCTTTAGATGGGAAACAGATAAACAAGAATGTTATACTGTTTCATTGTTGTGGTTTGTTACTTATGGATATTCCACATGCTAATCTGTAAGATGTACTACATCTGTCAGCCACGTCTGTTTAGAAAGAGAGAATGTGTGTGTGTGTCTGTCTGTCTTTATAGACATTTTGATTCGACGATGAATTCACTAAGACCTAACGCTTATAGTGGTTGCTTAGACTGGTCGATATGGCTAAAGATATTGATCAACTAGAAATCTCATCTATAAATCTCTACTGCAAATATACTTACTTCGTTTGTAAAATGATGTCCTTTGCTTTGACTAATGACAAGCCTTGACTCATTCGCGTCAACTTTGGGCGATAATGAGAAAACGTTAACTTCTGTTTTATGGAGCAAACAAAATTCTATTTGCGCTACGATTTCGCTTCAAAAGCATATTGACAAGTAAGCTTCTACCTATTGTATATTTCAAACACTCATGGAATGACATATGAATCTCCAGATTAGAAGAACTTGCAATTAAAAATCACACTACACAACCAAGCCATATGTAAGAAGGAGAAAGAACGATGGAAACAGTACCTAGTTAGTTAGCAATAATTAAGAAATGAAACGTCTCAACAGAGTTAATGAGTGCAACAGAAGCATACAATACAGAAAATATGAGTAAGTAGTAATCCGGTTATGAAATAATTATACAACAGAAATGTAAAACAGTTTCAGAACTCACAACTTCTCCGAAAACTCTTTCGGTTACAATGAATGAGACTAAAGAAGTGAATAAAGTTCGGTTTAATCAATTTTTAAATGAGTCAGGAACATCATGTTGCCCAAGTGGTCAGCGATACAACTAAGACTTCGTGTTTTATAGATTGACAGACTTGTTTGTAAGCATTTACAATGCATTTAAAGTAGAAGGATCGGTATACTTCAGTGACAGACTTAAACAGGTAAAACTAATTTATAAAGCCTGTGCATTTAAAAGAACTTGTTCATCAATCTTAATTTCAAGAAATAATGTTCAGAAGTTGTAGCAAAAATATCTAACAAAAAATGCGAGTACTATTAGGTCTCTCTACTAACCTGAATTCCTCATCACCTCTATCTTTCTCTTTCTAAATTTACCTCACTGAACTATACTTCTTGAATAACATCTTCGAACCCTAATCTCTCCGATTACTTCTAACACTTTTACTACCTCTACTACTATGGGATTTGAATCGACAATTTTATCTCTGTGCTAATGTCGTATGGCAACTTGAACTGATGTACTTACGTACGCAGTTCTACGTTGTAACTGGCTGACTGACTCTCTCCTGTTTCAGCATTTTCCTAGTTGTCATCTTTTTCTTCACACATCTACGTAGATAGACTACCTAATGTTACCTATCCAATATAGATAACATCTCATTTAATTGTAAGGATTCAATACAACCAGTTATTTCTTTCAATTGTTTCAAATTAAGGATCATCCATTAATCCTCTTGTGATTCTATTTACTTACGCCTGTTACTCCTAGTGGAGCATAAGTCGCCGATCTGTTTGTTATACTATTTAAAGTCTCTGAAATAACTGAAATTGTATTTCTGTTTCTTGATAAAAGAGATTAAATTCTTCCATAGCATAGCTAACGTTAAATTGGGTTAAGAGTTAGTGGGCTTTTTTGTTGGAATTAACAATCTTTCTTTGTTTTTCGGGTACATCAATTTATCGACTGAACGTACACGATTATTATCTGTATCAAATTTTTTTTACTTTGTATAGGTGTTTGACCAAATTAATGCGCAAGCATATTTGTGTCAAATGTAATTTCGGTAAAAGTATTATATACTGACGACCCTTAGTTAACTTGTCTTAATTAAGATAGCGCCTCATGTATTTTGAAAGAAATTTGATAGATAACTTCAAAGTAGAAATTGGCAACATTTGGTCACTAAAATGTTTGATATCAATAAGGATTTCTATCATGTAACCAAGAAGGGACCTATTCTATCACTGAAGTGATAGGTTGACAAGTAGGAGAAGAGAAAACGAAAAGCCGTGAAGGCTGTGGGTTTACTGTTGAGGCGAATTCAATCTCCCAACTAGAGAATTAGGATGGGAATATGAAGGTCACACTTAAAGTAAAGTATTTTTGAAATGGGAAAGTGTGACATTGACTTACTAAACAATAGTATATGATTCATAAAATAAAATAAGCACAGAACTTAAATATGTCAGTACTTTGCAGATTTGAAGTGAACGAGAAGACGTCTCAAAAAATTAGCTTCCATTGTTTGTCAATGCTTCTCTCTTCACATCAACATGTATCGAATTTCTAATCTGTAGGTCTAATAAATTTAAATCGCTGTCTTCTTGAGTAGTCATGATCTGCAGCCATATAGATTTACCTGACTTTGCGCCGAAAAGAAACTGTAAGGTACGTTTTTAATACTCGATATTATAATTTGTCATAGTACGTAGTCGAAATAACTTCATGAGAAAAAAAATTATCATGCTATTGAAGGAAATTGCACAAAAATTGTCGTGTTACCTATCATAGTAACCTCAGTTTGCTCAAAAATGTATATGAAGATTTTTTTGTTTATTATCAGTACAAATATACTTGTTTGCATTTGTTTTGCGTCGTTAACCTTTTACTTTTGATCGATTATTCATTTTGTGCATACTCTTTCTGTATACATAATATTCAGTAGATTATTTTACTGCGGTGTGCAATCCACTTTCACAATTATTTCAACGTATTTCTAATCATTGATAATTAACTTTTTCTAATTCAATAAAAATATTGTATTTTCGTTTCTTAATTAATAAAATAATATTCTAATTAAATTTTTGTTCCTTTGAACTCATGTCTAAAAGAAAAACTATTTTAATTAGTGTAGCTATAAGCCCTAATTACCATGGCCCGACACAAGAAAAATGAGCAAAAACAGCATCTGAAGATTGATTGAGGCATCAAAATAAATCAGTAGCTGTCTGAATACATTGACATTTTTTTTGGTTTGTTTATACTGCTCAGTAGATCAAGTTGAATAAATTTAGTAAAGTAAAGCTTGTAGACGAGACTACAATTTATGGACGGACCAATCGCATTTGTGATAGAAAACCTTAAATTTTGGCGCAAAACATATCCATTCTCGAGGTCACTTTTTGCATCGCTCAAGGGTTGTCTATAAATGTTAATCTCACCCACTTCTCAAATACGCATTATATGAATATAATCCTTAAATACTGTTAGACCAAATGACTATAAGCAAAAAGTATAACTTATTTACTCAGTTACTTCTTCATTGGATATGGCATTAGCAAGTTTACTGTAAGTGGTTAGTTGAAAAATTTGGTGGTTTTTCTTTTTGTCTCGTCTACTTTCTTTAAAAGTAAGTCCTAGATCATGTTTAATTAAGTTCTTAATATTTTAAGACGCCATCTTAAAACAATCAATAAATGAACTTGCGTATTTTTAGAAAACTGAATAAAAGATATCAGTTGTTTTATTGAGTTAAATTTTTTAATTTGCTTGTTGATATTTTCTTCATTTGTTTTTGTTGTATGAACAGTAATCTGTGTACAACACATTTACATCCAAAATGGCATGTTCACTCTATTTTCTCTAGATCGATACACTGTCAACTGTCCAATGAATTAACTTAAAAGCAGCAACATTCACATCATCAACATTTTACTAACAGTCCACCAATTTTACGATAAGCTTTAGGCTAGCAGAATGGTTAAATTTTGCTGTCACATCCTAAAGAGATGACTAATTCTTAATCCTCACTTAAGAAACGTTGTTTACAAACTTAAAAGGAGACTGTGTGCTGAATACAAACGTATTGTTGTTGATCTGAACTCGATTCATCGAATCCATGTTTAGATATGTCACATTCATTTTATCCTAATAGGTAAAAACCGACAATTGTAACAAATACTAGGCATCTGTTTGTCATAATTGAGTTATGCGTACATTGTTATTCCCCGATAGCGTTGTCGTTCGGTCAAACACTTCATGTGTGTTACTGTGAGTTTTGAGACATGATTAATTGAAGAGCAGGAGTTAGCTAGTCTGCTTTTGAGTGGAAGTATTAAGGTTTCGGGTGTTGTTCATTGGTCAAGGTCAATTAGCAAAGCGAAGATCACTAGTCCTGCCTAACTAATCGGTAATAGGACTAGTTTGAGAGAGATCATATAATGTCATTACACCCAAATCACGCAAGCGCCAATAGAAAACCAGACATGTTTTTTTCCTTCCAGCAGTTTTGCACCATAAAAAGAAAGATTAAGTACAATAAGCCCAGTCACCTGATTAAGCATGATAAAATAGAGTTAATCATGGTAGTTATCGATTAACTAGAAAAATCTTAATTTTATTGTTCCGCTATGGAGATAACATTGAACGGTCGTCACTCTATATAGTGAAAATAGTTGTCTAACTTGATTTTGTTGGATCAGTCAGTCAGTCAGATGTAACGTAGAACTTCGTATGTAAGTACATCAGTTCATGTCGCCATACCACGTCAGCACAGAGATGTAATTGTCCATTCAAATCCAATAGTAGAAGAGGTAGTAAAGGTATTAGAAGTAATCGGAGAGGTTAGAATTAGAAGATATTATTCAAGAAGTATGATTCAGTGAGAAAAGTTTAGAAAGTCAAAACTAGAGGTGTTGAAGAATCCAGAAGATTAGGATTTGAGAGAACACAAAGCATAAATGCACCGGCTCCATTGCGAACGATTTTGAGCCATGTCATTCAAGGTCTCTAACCATCGATAATTATCATCTCGCAGACCCCAACCACGTAGTCGACAATTACCGACATGGCTAAGTTCACTCGTCAATGATTTCATGGATTTCTGCCATGTTTTGGTTTGGCCGCCCTTAACTTTCTTCCAACCTATTCCTACACTACAAAACAAAGCTCTTCGAGGCAGTCGATGGTTAGGCATACGCAGCACATGTCCCAACCACCTCAACTGATGAAGTTTCACCACTTCATCTATTGATCTGCCATTCTTACCTAGCACCCGATTCCTAATAACAGCGTTGCTCACTCGGGTGTCCCACGATATACGAGCAATGCTTCGAAGACACCTATGATCGAAAACCAACAACCTACGAATATCTTCTACTCTCACTGGCCATGTTTCACATCCATAAAGTAAGACGTAGCGAACTACTGCACAGTACACTCGTCCTTTAGTCAGTAAACGAATATCTCACCTACCCCATAAGTGACGCAGGTTGGCGAAAGCCAATCAAGACTTCTGTATCCGAGCTGAGATTTCGTCAGTCACCAGGCCATCGGTACTGATGAGACTCCCAAGATAAGTGAAGCGGTCTACACGTTTGACTACTCCACTCCCTATCACTAGTTCAGGTGCCGATGCAACCGAGTCTTGAAACATTTTGTTGGATGATCAATGAAGACCAAGAAGCACTGACCCTTTCCCTGCAGTGAGCATCCACGCCCTGAACAGGAATCAGCGCCAGCATCTTCAAGGTTCTTACAAAACATTTGATTTTCAAGTCTAATTGTTTCCCATCAAATAATATTGGTGTCACAGACGCTGTAGTGAAGGAGAACACAGGTGAGGGCAACCGAGTTGTATTTATCGCAAATTACAGAGTTACTCAGTAAAATAGGAAAACCATATCGTAAACGGTCAATTTGCAAATCTTCAGTCCATCATCAATCCATTGTCCGACAGTTCACTATTCATGCGTTTCATACAAATTCCATTGTTCCCACTCTTCCTTTCTTGATCTTCCCACATCTTCTGCTGCCAGACATTACGTTTTCACTCGCGTTATATACTACTTATAAGTAGCGCGCACCACAACACTACGAATCAATATCCTCAGTCTTATACTTTTCTACAATCCAAATTATAAGGTCTATTGTGATGAACATGTTTTATAAAGAAATGACGTAACATAAGTTCACAGAACTATGTAATATGATGCATAAAATAACAATAACCACCATTAATAAATGAAACATATTTATTTAACGAACTAATCATAAATTAATTGAAAGACTGTATGCAACAATTAGCAGGGAAAAAAAGGCATAAACGAATTAATCTTTTAATATTGACAAGAATTATTGGAATTTGTTTTTTGAAACCATAGTAAAATAGATTATCAACAAATATTTCAACCTGCAGAATTAATGTTTACTGAATACAAGTTTATCATCTCTGAAGAAACTTCTCTCCTATGTATGTATAATTTGTCACTTTTCATTATAATTATTCTGTTTTTCTTCTTTTTCAAGTAATTAAGGTTGCAATTCAATAGGTGACAGTTTTCGTTTGTTTATTTATTTTATAAAAAGCATTTTATCAAAAATTACCGAACCGTGAAACTTTTCTTTCGACTTGTGAAAGGTATTTATCCGGTATACCAGTCTCCCTGAAAATTAAAATACATATATATATATCGAATATTTTAGTTTCTCTGCAAAAGGTTAAGAATTTCAATCAGTAAATCAATCGGTGCATTTTCTTTCATGGACTATAAGCACCATATTCATACATAAAACTCCCATCACTTTCTTAATCCCTCTAACTCGTTGAACCTTTGTCACGATTGTGCATTATATATGTAAGACTTCGGTAATCCAACTATCATATTGAGGACAGGCATAAATGTGTACGTGTCACCGACGGACAAAAAGAGATTTTTAACAGCGGAAGATATTGCATGATCATTACGGTCAAACGTGCTGACGTGACAGTAGATGTTTTTGTTTAGAATAATAAATAATGGCCGTTGTTAGTACTCTTTTTACCAAATAGTTTTTCTAGATAACTTAATATAATGCATATGAATTAATAACAGTTAGTCAATCAAACTTCTGGAGCCTTTTAAAGGTTACTGACAAGACTCAAAATACTGTCCCAGTGTCTGATGTAACTACTAATGGTTTGTAGTATATATTTGAAAGTCACCACAGGAATGTTGTAGGTAACGTTAGTTGATCAACTACAAACAGAACGACGAAGATCTTATTTATTCTACTACTGCACATTATCCGAAGTGTAGTTCAACACTTTACTTTCAAGCCGAACTGCAATCAAAAATGAAAAAAAGTGTTCCCTTGAATTTGCAGTGAGGCAAGTAAAAACCAACTAAAATTTAAGTCTATACTTTTTTAAAAGTTATAAAAATGAGATGACAAACACTGCTTTTGTGTCACTTATAACAAATACCAAAAAGAACTACTCACTTTAATTCTTTTAATTTGCGTGATTTTGTTTCATTTAAACGTAGGCGTCTTAATCTTTCTTCTTCAGTTGCTCTTTGACCTTCTTCAAATATAGCTTTTCTTTCTGCAATGCGTTCTTTTTCTCTTTCACATATTTGATGACGAAGATCTTTCAAATTTTGAATACTTTTCTGTTTAGCTTCGTACTCAGCGCGTTTATCATTTTCTATAAGTTCTTGTTGACATCTTAGAAAAAATTATCATGGAGTAAAACCAAAACAATTGTTATCTATAAAACGCCATTTTCTCAATCATATAAAAATGGTATCATTAATCGTAATTTTGATGCTTCTGTCTGTTTATGATAATGTATATCTTAATTAAACTAGCTTATTAGATTTAAAATGTTTGAATTCTTTTGGGTTCTTTCATAATTGAACTTACTTGTATCGGACATTTTCGATTCTTGTAGGCATCGAACAAATTATTGATTTTCATTAAGATATATGATCATGCGATGAGCTACTTAATGTGTTATGCCTTAAAATGAGTGTCAATGTCAATGAAACATTCAATTTTTCTTACTTTCTGAATAAATATCTTTTCCCACTGTCTTGTTTCCTAATCACTTTTATTATTTCTGTTAATCTTGTTGTTCGTTAAATATAATCAGTAACCTGAAATAAGCGACATAAAAATTCAATAGTGGATATTGCTTGATTCTACCACAAATATTTACTAGAGAATTGTGGACTTAAGTTAGTTGTCTGACGTTTTACAAATGAGAGGAATGATACGTTACTGATATAAGATGCAGTAATCAAAACTGAAGCATCAAAATAATAATGGTCAAGATTTATTCAAACGATCAGAGAAGTATTGTTAAGTATTTCTTTAACTATTATCCATTTGAAATCATCAATCAATCATTGTTAGACCACCATTAGAAACTTGGAAGCATTGGACAGACGTTTCGTCCTGGTATGGGAATCATCAGCAGTGCGCATACACGACTCCTGCTCCTCGCAGGATTCGAACACAGGACCTTCGGCATTGTAGGTGAACGCCTAAACATCGGACCACTGGGCCGGCATCCAACGGTGTCAGTGTCTAACTCTGATTGATCTAGGGATTTTGCGCGACCTCACCCATTTGTCTTTGGTAGTTAATGCCTACACCCGACAGGGTTGAACTCCATTAGTCACGTCTTCTCAACTAGAACTCCGAGAATCTCCTCACGAAGCTAGTTACTTGTGAGCACTGTTACGATATTTTGGGGCATAGTATTTAACAAGACAGATATTTAATCTCATATTAAAGTAAGCTCTAAGAGTTAAGTTTATATTGCTCAAAAATAAAATGTTTCGAGGTAAACCTTTCCTACAACTATAACCATCACCAAATACCTAGGACGAAATGAAGTTCCGCATTAAGCTATAAGATTAGCTTTTCCTTCAGATTATATGTATCACAGGATGTCAGTTATAGTCATGATCTTGACATTTGGCAAATAACAGAAACTAGTATGCATTCATCATATTGGAAAATACATGTACTAGCAATCAAACCAACTGATATCTATTACAAAAATAAAAATTAGAATGAAATGCAAAATTGATTATATGAAGTACGAAAGTTTACTTTAAAATTCTTTCGAATTCATGTCTTTCACGAGCAGCTTCAATTGCTAAATGACGCTTTTTGTCTTCAGCTTGTGCTGCTCTAGCTAATTTCAATTCATTTTCTGTTTCAATTTTCTTCTTCTCAGCTAATAATTCTTTACGTCTCCATTCTCTTTCATTGGCTTCGGCTGCACGCTTAGCTCTCAACGCATCACGTTCTGCAGCCTCATCTGATGCTCTTTCTTGTAATGCACGTAAACGTGCAATTTCTAGTTCTTTCTCACGTTTAATACGCAATTGTTCAGCTTCATAAGCAGCTTCACGTTCCTTTACATAATAAAAAGAAAGTCAAAAAACCACATTAATTAATTACTAGATCCTCTTTTTGAAACTATGGTGTTAGTGTTTTATGGTCAATTAATATACAATAAAAACCAAGTGTTATTTATAAAGCTGTTTAACAAAGTACAGTGTTTGAAACAAATGAATGACAACAGCATTTCTACTTATTCGATGAATGTGCACCAACAGTAATATAAAACTGTCATCAACAGAAGATCTAAGACACAAAAAAATATGATTTTTGAATGCTTTAGTGAAAGCAGTGGATAAGAAGAATTCAAATCAATTTTATTTAGCGTCGGTCAATCTTTCGATTCCGATGCTGCAAATTTTAGTAGCCGATACACAAATAAGCATATCTCAATCTTTTTTGGAAATGAAGTGGTAGTCATTTTTTTTTTAACTTTAAAATTATTCTCGTTAGTTTAATCCAGCTTATTATCCGAAAGCATTTCTTACCGAATACTTATTACATTTATTACAAAACTAAGCTCATTTTAAAGCGAAACTGTTTATAATTTCTATTTAAGAAAATCGTCTAACAGGTTAGATAATTCATGAACTAGGCAGGCATGGTAAAATACATATATTTCCTGCTTGTTTACAACTATCAAGCATCGAACTAGTGTAGTATTGATAAAAAAGGGATTATGAAAAGTAAATGGCATCCATCATTCATAAGCACATTAAACAACCGTTTTATTCAGTGCACAAAGTGAGGACTTGTGTTATTCTTCGAGCAACAAGAAAACATTAAAACAAATTCACCAATGTTATCATCATTGTCAATGAAACTTGCACCAGTTCTTCCTACAATGTCATACACATGCACAGCTAATAGATAATTCATGTAATTTCGTAAAAAGAAACACGATATTAACAAAGGTTATTATGCGCTGATGGTTGAGAAATAAGAATTATGCATTCGAGCAAGACATTTTTTATTTACAATATTTATTTGCCGTTTACATTATTCAATCCCTGTTTAAAATAACAAACCCGTTGACGAATTTATTATAACTTTATATCATATTTCGTTGAAAACAGTAAAATGCAATAACAAATCGAAGAACAATTTTAGTTGCTTTTGTTGAAAGTAGGTGGTCTTTTACTATCGCTTATTCTCATGCTATCACCTAAATATCCTACTTCTGAATACAGCTGTCAACTTTGTCTACGTAACGAGTGCATGTGGAATGAGGTACATGTGTAATAAATTTCACAGTCCTTGTCCATACAAAACACTATTTCATCGTTTGAAAATGAGAATGTATCAATACAAACCGACCATTCACAACAGGTTGTGTTTCTACAAGAACTTACAATCAACATTACATATAAAATGGTTTCATCAAAAAACCAACCATACTTTCATGCCAATAAATCAAGACAATTTATGAAGTGGTATCTTACCGCTTTTTCATCTTGAATCTGCTTTATCTTCAAATTCAGTAGACGATCTTTTTCCTTTTCAACCTCTCGTCGTTTTCTTAATTCCTCATTAGCTATATCTAATTCTATTTTAATTTTCTCTTGAATTTGTTTTTTCTTCTCTCTTTCAGCAATCTCTTTCATATTCTGATCAGCTATTCTTTGTGTTTCTAAAATACTCTCCTGTTCAATTCGTTCTAATTCCATCAACCGATCTAGTTTATTCTCTTCGATTTGTTCTAAAACTCTACAAGCTCCAAGTTTTTCCTAAATATTAAACAATAGTAATAATAATAACAGATTTCATAGAATTATCTACATTTGAGACTAGAATTCATTCAAATACAAAACAAACAACAATCTCGTGATGGAAAATAAATTCTATGAAAAATATGTATCATTTCGAGTAAACCAATGAAACTCACGAAATTCTAAATAAATTCAAGTTGATAAATACACCAAAGTTTAGGTTTTTTCGACAATCACTGAGTGTTACCTGTTGATCATGAGATAACAGGAAAGACTTATTGTTCAGAGGGATAATCCTGTCAGTGTTGATGGATTTGAAGTGAAAAGTGCATTTAATTTATCCTCATCATCTCCCCACATCTAATCACTAGCCCAAACTTCAAAAAGATGTGCACAACTTGAATTTCCCATAGCATCATCTTTTGATGACAATTTGAGAGATAACAAGTTGTTATTGTTAGTGTTGCTATGATTGTCTGCATGATGGTTTCAATACCATGAATTTCATGATTCTTTTATACAAATCAACATGAGATAATTCATGATACACATGTTTTAGATGTAAAAGTTGTGTAAAGCATCTCTGATCAAATGATCACAAGTTACTTTCACCTTCCCACGAAACAATGTTCATATGAGGGGTACGGCGGCCCGTGCCTTACTAATGTCGTGGCGGTCGATATTCGAAATGTTTTTAGACTTCGTATGCTGCTCGTCCAGACAACCATTGCTAAATAACACCTCACAGTTTCGTATATCAAAAGAGGAATACAATGTCTTGAATATGTTTATTTGTTGCATCATGAACAGACCACCAAACCACAGGCACACAGTTCAAAAATCAATTCGCGAGTGCCAAAATGGGTAGGCAAGCCCATCAGTGAATAAGAGTAAAATGTACATTTATATATACATAGGAAAATGGATGAGTCATTGAAATATTTAAGAGGCTAACATTAACACGAATAAGATGGATATGTACGTAGGCGGTAAACATTATTCAATCGTATCAGCTCATGCAAATCCAACAATAATCAGAGCCAATGGAATATATAAGTAATTGCTATACAAATGACTCAGTCAAATGAGTTAATGAAAAACGGCTTAACCAAATTAAATATGAACAAACTCAAATTTATGTCAAGGTACTACAGGCGATTAAGGCTGTACTCTTCAATAAATGCGGATACCAATCGCTAAACCGGTTTTCTTTAGGTCTATTAAGTGGTGTTGAGTGGTTAAAAGGCATTCAACAAGAAAACCCAAGTCTAAGTTTTCTGTAGATTTACAGTCGTCATCAGATAGTGCCTCTAACCTAACTGGCATTACGATGGGATTCGAAGCCGCATCACTGAGCACCAGAATCAGTGACATCGTCACTGATGGAATTAGTTCCATTCGAAATGAAGGTACGCCCTGCTGATGAATCCCAATTAGCACGACACTTTGATTCAAGGATTCCCATCTACTAGTTTCATCTTTTATGTAGACGGAAACAACTCATTCGTTGTCAGGTCGCTCAAATAAGTAGCCACACTTTAAGCTGAATGAAAAAGCTTGGTCAATAATAACGAGTAGATGAACATGATAATAGTTACTATTTAAGTGATTCATCAATATAAATAACTGATCGCCGAGAATAGAAATTATCAGATTAGTGGTGTGCACAAAGCATTTAGGTAGCTGTCAGATATTGAATACTTGCTATTCTAACTTTCAATGGCTCGCTTATTTTGAGCTTCCTTCATTTTCGAGTCAGATTCCAGTGTTTATGTCTCGAACAGCTTAAAAATATACAAGCGAAAACAAAATTACTAGCAGCATCAGGGAATAACCGTTTTCACGTATCTAAATAAATGTCAATTTATGCCATTGGAAGTGTTTTAGTGAATTTCAGATCCAGTCACTAATAATTCACATGGAGTCAAAAACCACTTATAAAGAATTTGTTAACATGCTGTCCAAGGTCTTTTTCTTGAAATTGTCCGGTTTTCTAAACAATTATGATTTTCTTGACGTTATTGTGGAGTAAAAGACCGTGAAAAAACAAACACAACAATCTTTGATGTATTTCCAGGTTCGTGCTTAAAAAATTTCATACTTTTTATGGGTTTTATATATTTCATCGCATTTGTGTAGAAAATAAACAATCATGAAACGCGTAGTGATTGTTTTCTGCATTCTTCTTCAGTCTGTTAACAGGAAGCGAGTAAAGGGAAATACAAAACTTTGGTCTCCACTTTTCGTTGAGTCTTTTGATATATAGGTTTAATGATGTTGTTTCATAATATTTGCATAGATTTCTAATGGGGATATCTTTTCAATTAATAATTATCGCTATATCACTTGCCGTTAATAAATTTCAGTCGTTTACAAATTTTTTCCCTCAGCTTTGAATCTAAAATGGTCTGGTTATGTTCATACTGATATCTACTAGATGAGGTACGTTTCAGTCACAGGTTTTATCTACATAATCACTTGAATTATAAGATTACTTAATAAACGATTCTTGTGACCACACATCTGGTTTTCTAGTATGCTGACGGGAGGTTTGAGTGAGTGCACATTCACACGGTCTATCGACTGCATGACAAAAACTGTGACGTCGTTAGTAACTCAGAAAAGAACAATAACAATTATCGGAACTTTCGCTTTACTGAAATGTTTAATAATGGTCTTATCTATAGTTGCATTTGTTAGCAATTTCGCATCACTTTATAATATCTTGCTTGTCTTATTGATAGAATATCAGAGATATTGAACATGAACATGTTCTAAATTGTTAGAGATACGTTTCTAAAACAAGTTTGGTGAATGACAGAAAGCAATGATATTTTCAGTTAGAGCTTTGGAGATTTGTGTTTTTTACACATTTGAAATCATCAATCAATCATTTTTAGACCACCATTAGAAACCCACAAGCACTGGACGGCCGTTTCGTCCTGGTATGGGAATCATCAGCAGTGCGCATCCACGACGCCTGCACCTCACAGGATTCGAACCCGGGACCTTCGGTATTGTGCGCGAACGCCTAACCATTGGACCACTGGGCCGGCATCCAACGGTGTCAATGTCTAACTCTGATTGATAATTTGGTTGTTCTAATAGATTAGCTAACTAAAATAATCTCTAGATCAATGAAAGAAAAAGCTCGAACAAATTCACTACCTGCTCTTTACGTTTCTTATCTATCTCTTCCTGTATGTGTATAGCATTTTGTCTTTCTAACTCCATCATATTATCCAAGCGTAGTTCCTCTTCAGCCATTTCTTTTTTAATTAACTCTTTTTCTAAAATTTGTTCATCTCTTATAGCTTGTATTTTAGCATTTAATATCCATTCATTTAGTGCTTTTATCTCATCTTCTTGATCTTGTCGTTGTTCCAAAGCTTTTTGTAGCAAACTTTCCGCTTGTTTCTTTGCTTCTTCCTCCAAATCTGTAAGCCGTTCATTGCGCACACGATTCAAATCAAATTCACGCATTTTCTGTTTACGTTGCTCCACTTCTTCCTATGAAAAAAGCAATGCACATTACTAAATACCAAAGTTATTTTATAGATTAGATAGAAGTTAAAATATTACCTTTCCACTGAAATTCCAAAATATGACACTAGACCATAAACGTCAACATTATGTCTACTTCAACCTCATAAAGATCATTTTAAGGCTTAAGTTTGGGATTTTCCAAAAGAATACCGTTCATTACATTGTGCTACTCAAGTCGTGTAATCATGCTCTAAAGCAGAAAAAGATTATTTTATAAATTTACACCGTTGACTGCCATATAGACATACTAGTACATCCGTGTGAGGGTGGTTCAGGTTTTATGAATATTTGTAAATAAAAAGTTGTTATTCGACTCAAAAAACATTTTAAGTAGCTGTTCGGGTACAGATAGTTATGTTAGTTTTCTGCGGTCATGTGTAGGATAAAATGTTTTTAATATATCAAGTGGTTTTACAATTATTACTGTTTATAGTACATAATTGAAAACTATTTAACCTCCATCAGTGAAATCCGATAAACAAAGGCAGATGCTTATATTGAGCAATTAAATCTTTTTGAATAACCATCAAAAAATAAGAATTCATGACCGCTCATGGTGAACCACATTTCAGACTTTAATAAAATCCTGAGTGATATGCAAATGTATAATTTCAACCAACGAAATCGTTCACAAGTTTTCTGAATGAAACCATCTTGAATGTCACAAAACACGATTGAAATAGTATTTTTGCTAAAACAATTCCAATTTTAACATTTGTATTTGTTGCAATACAAAGAAGATGCAACTGTGAATCTCACAGCGGCTTTTCAACTGTAGGTTAGCTGACAACTGTTACAGTAAGTAGACCTCAGATCAAACCGGTATTTTTGTTTCAGAAGTTTAAATCATATCCACAAATGAACGCACAATAGTTTTACTGGGGAAAGGATTTCTGTTATAAAGTAATGCTTTGTATACTTGGTAGGCAATGAATATTTTTCCTAATTACTAACACCATTTATCAACATCCTTTTTATATGCTTTTAGAAATTACTAAGTAGTATGTTTTGCGTTTTAACTATTCCAAGTCAGTTGATTTTAAGCAGTTAGTAAATACCTTCTTGTACATACCTCTATTGTTATTGTGTATTTGTCAAAATGTTATTTATCCACCGTATTCTTTCAGAGGCTAAACATTTGTCCGAATATCAACGATTACAATAGATTTGAATGAAAATGTCAAATTACCATTCACGTTCGTTCAATGAATAGAATGGGTCATTTTCGAAACAAACTAAAGATTCTCTAGTTACATTTTAAGATGAGATGCCTTATTAGTTGTAGGTTTATTTTACGTTGTGAGCATGACGGTGTTTATCGCCTTTTCGTGAACGAAACTAGTGAAAGTAGAATTTACTATACAAACGATATTGTGATAGGCAGTATATCACGTAAAACCGGACTTGAGCTGCTACCTTACGCTCTGGTCCGTCTTACCTAACGTGATGGCTGGAAAATACGTTTATTTAGGTCCGATCACGCTAGGAAGTTTAAATGAAGAACAGTAAAACTAAAAGCAATAACTCAAGGACTGGGGAAGTAGTTGTAGTTGACTGTAGACGGGTGTGACAGCATCATCTAAAGCAGTGCTGCCTTCGCACAACGGAAGGAATGGGTCAGAAAGAATCAACCCTAAAAATGTCACATCTGACTTCACTATACGGATTTCCGTCCCCTCCGGTTAGGCCTTTTAAAGAGCGAAGCAAACACTTCCACAAGATCCCATAAAAAGGCCGTGCGCTAATGGCCCCTGGTCTCTGTGGTCTCGCTGCCAGGTCTGTTAGACCAACGATAACCTAAATTTTGTTTCAGGTTCTCAAAGAAATACCTTTCCATAGGGTCGGCAACGGAGAAGTGACATCCTCCCTCCTCATACTCACAACAGCATACGAGATCAACTTGCTCACAATCAAATGCTTATCCCATCGCTTAATAACTATCTTATTTCAACGAGCAACCCTTTATCACCTCGCGCCTCAAATGCTCACGATTCGAGTGCACGAATGTTATTCCTGGTCTCCTGAAACTATTCTCTAGACATTCTGGAGCTTTAACATTTGAACTTAGTGCCAAACAAGACAACAAACGTCCTTAGCTAGGACTCGAGAACCCCGCACTATCAATGTATGCGCATACACGATCCGAGTAGAATCATTCATTTAACCTCACCATTCCAAAACGAAGAACCATCGCTATTTACTCTCCGTGTATTTGAAAGCCCTACCACCGCTTCCCGTGGTGTAGTTATAGCATTAGTTTCTAAATCAGAACTAACTCTCTAAGACTGCGTCCCAGAATACTGTCTATTGAGTGCTCTCCGCCATTACCTCTTCGTTGTTTCGGCCTACGTTTAAAATAACTGCAGATCAAATGAGGCAAAGATGCACTTTACTGAAAGTTCTTCGACTTTTTTTAACAAGCTGAGTACTGTATAGTGTAATAGTGGCTGGTGACTTTATCGCTTAAATCGATAGATTAGTTGAAACTGAAAGACACGTGTGTGGATCTTACGGTTTTGCAGCCCAGCACAAAGATAATGGGGACTATTTCTCGCGACTACGCTTAGATAACGCCTATTGATGACCCGCTCGTTTTAGAGCACATACTTAAACCCATATAACGCCAGAGTACCAGAACGTATTTGTCTGAGGCTTACTGGACAACGAGGAAACCTTTTAAAGTCCTACTTAACGATGAAAAAACCAAGAGTACGTTTCGAGAGAACTAGAAAGTCAGACAGCCACCACACTGAAAGATGCTTCGAAAATCATCCTGCCCGGCTATAAACACGACGGACAGCGGAGTCACCTTAAACGCGGGCTAAAAAGAAGCCTACACAATGATCTCAAACAGTGACGGTTAGCAAAAACAAAACAAATGAAAAACAGCGGCGATAGATTGTAGTAAAAAACTTCAGACCTATAACGGAAACTGATATTAGAAATACAAATTTTAGTGAAAATATCCATGGAAAATATGAGACTATTATTAAATCCCAATCTATGAGATTGGATCGATGGGCATAAGTCAATAGAGAGAAACTTAACTGGTCTTCCATCTCCAATTAACGTGAATGGCATATTGATTAAGTCCTCTGACACTTAACTTAATGAAGCTGAAAAGGACATTGATAATCTAAGATGAGGAACAGCAGCAGGCCGTGTTTGATATTTTTTAAGATGGTAGTCCAGTTTCAGCAGTTAGATTGACTAAACTCTTAGCTATAATCTGGATGTAATCCTGTGTGGGTGGTCTTGATCACTGAATGTCACAGTACATAATAAAGGACAAAAGTCCTCATGTGACAGTAACAAAGGAATCAGTTTGACCAATGGTGCCTAATATATTGGCTTCAATAATACTCTAACGCCCAACTAGGGCTCGTGAAGAGCGGACTCGAGAAAATCAGAATGAGTTCAGACCTGCACGTGGATGTATAGACCACATATGCAAAACTCTTGAGGTTCTAGAACACAGACACAGATCTAGTTATATTCCGCGACCTAAAGGCGGTATTAGGCTCTGTTTATAGTGAGGTTTTATGACTGTCTATCTGTGAAAGGAGTACTAAAGAAGTACATTAATTTTATACAGGCTATCTATTCGAACACTACTGATCGATTCAGAGCTTATGGAGAACTGCCATCAGAAATGATTACCGCAATTGGTGTCCATCAGGGGTGTCCACTTCTTTCATCCCTATTCAAATTTGTCATAGACATTCTGACCACTTTCATTGTCTGACTTTTCAGGAGATAAACTTAAACAGTGTGATTCACGTTTTGACTCAGAATACACAGATGGCATAGTTCTGTTTGTCAAAGACGCTAACAAAATGAAGAGTATTCTGACAAGCTTGTGGGTGACTAAACAAAATCATGGCACAAATACGTAAAGTAACTGACAAACGGGCTGGTTGTGATCCGTGAGATAATGATAATCGGTGATTAAAAATTTTGAATGACATGGAACAAGATCGTTTGCAATGGACGGATGCATACATTCTTTGCATCTTCTCAAATTCTATCTTTCATAATCCTTGATGACTTTCCCTATTTTAAATTTAATTCACTAGGATATATTTCTCTAACCACATCTTCAATTCTCTAGTCTTACCGACATTCGATAATACTGCCTCGACATCTAGGATTTCGACTGACGATTCACTTACTGTTTGCTAAGGTTGTTTGGCAAACTGAACTGATATACCTAAGCATCAAGTTCTAAGATAATACTGATTGAGGTCACTATACCGAATTTCAAATCGCACTGCAAAAACGAGATTCTTACCAGTAATGCTGCGCGCCTAGACTTTTCTTTTTCATTAGCATCTCGTTCTTCCTTATCTGTCAATATTTTAGCCCTCTCTAAAAGATCTTTATATCTTTCGGGCCGTATGACAATAGTCTTTATGTTAACGTCATCTGAAGGTATTCTGAAAAGCTTAATTAGATCACAGTTAACCTACATGATATCGCGGATTAAATCGGATGTAAGATGTTTTATTTTTTTTCTTTGATGGTTTTCTTTCTCTCGCTCATAGTCTTCCCGTAATAAACCTGGTCCAAATACTTTTGCCTTGTTATCAGATGCTTTCACATCAACATTATTCTGATCCGTTAGATTGCTCTATAGAAATTAAAACGTATTTCAAATCCGGTCACCTGTTGTTTTTGCACATAAGAGGGGACTCCAAATAAGTTTTCATCAACGTTGGAATGTCTACTTATTGTACGATACGATAGCGTTTTAGAACGTTTAGAATGCGATGAATTGGAAGAGTTGAAACTTTGATTGCGTGTCCCACCACTCACAAAGCTGCTTGCAGGCTAGAATTCAAAAAGTAGTAAATTAAATAAATCATGATTTCATACCATGGCCAATCCTGACCGTTGGTATAGTAATCAAAACATTTGATACAGAAAAACAAATATTTATCGTTCAACTGCATTTATCATTTTTAACTCAATTTTCAAACAGTTTCAGAGGAAATGTGAACACTTCTGCTTATTCTCTACATTAACAAAAGAAAGTGCATTGGTGTTCCAATTTAAAGGTTTTATATGATGATATTCCCAAGCGAGTGCGCAGTTAAGGTTTTCATTACTTCGTCAAGTTATGCAGAAAGACATTACTCAATGCAGCAGTTAGAAACTTGAAACCAGTGACTTCCTGTGAAATTACTTGTGTACACTTCAATGTACATAGCACACTTAAGGCGATTAGTACGCTGAAACACTCTTAAGTTCTAGTATCAGATGGTATCCTAGCTAGCATTCTGAAAAATTGGAGCAATAATCTATGTGTTATTCCTCTGAAACTATTTACTACATCACTCTCTACAGAGTGTTATCTTAATAACTGAAACACTACACATATCATCCCCACAATTAAATCTGAGGCCACAGAGAATGTTGAGGATGATCGACCCCTAAACATTACCTCTGTAGGAACTAGGATGATGGCGAAAGTACTAAAGGCGGCAGTAATACAACGCCTACATCATAACAATCTGATATTTTACTCACAGAACGGGTTCTTAGGGTCTAGGCCAAGTGATACATGCCTGCTAGATTATCTCAATGATATCATGCAGAAACAAAACAATGGGCTACTACTATCAGTCCTTTTCTTCGGCTTTAAGAAAGCTTTTGATAAGTTCTAAATTGAAGGCTTCTCTTCAAACTAAAGTGGTTCGAAATCAGTAACCCACTATATTCGTGGTTTGTTTCATTGCTGAATGGAGGCCAACAAAGCGTTAAATACAACGATAATCTTTCATCACCAAGGTCAATAGCCAGTCGAGTTATCCGGGTAAGTGTATTAGGTCCACACTTGTTTCGTATGTACAAAAACGCTATATGCTGAACTATAAAATTTGGCAGATCTTACTAATATGCGGATAATCTCAAAAAGGTACATAGCTATAACCATGAGGATCTGAACTGAAATACAGCCAGGATCCCAAGTGACCTTGACATATTATCTACCTGTGGCGAAACATGATATCTACCTCCTAATAATAGTACTAACAGTAATAATATATTTATTCTCAAGTAACAATGTGTTACAAGAGGCATGCCACTTCACAAGCTAGATCAAGATATTACAATCGCTATGACATTTACTGCGAAAGCCATCACAGTTTGATGAAGTGTAAGAGTCTGTTTCTAAAAGCACATTAAAACAGTGGTTTACTAAAGAAAGCATTTTGGCACATTTTGCTACTAAAGCACACATGGGTAGCACAGTTTACATGTCTGACTCAGCAGACGGAGGAGGATAAGCAGGACCTAGAAAAACGCTTGATATTGATAAAAATTGTTTGGAAAACCAGCATCTTACCATCTTTTTCTATTTCAAGGAACTCTGAAAGTGGTAACTTTTTTCACGCGGTATAGTGTTTTTCGGAAATTTATCATTCGTAGGGTATTATACTGATTTAGTAGAATGTATCTATTGTACCCGGTGCACTTTGCTGCTAGAAAGCAAACCTCTAAGTTTTTAATCAGTTTGATAACGTTTGATAACGATTTTAACTTCTGAATACAGTAGTTTAAGCCTACTTACAGTGACTCTTACACTTCATAACTGTTTGTATTATCTGTAAAATCCGCCACTGATTTTTAGTATTAACACAGTTAATACACAATAAGTCATACACTTAGATATTTGAGTTACTTAGACAAGCAAGTATCTCACCCAATTTTCCATTGTGACAAATAATTCAACTTGCACTCTCCTTTTCAAATTCGGCTGCTGCAATGACGCCAAACAATTTATCCGTTTGAGCAAAAATAATAGCTCATCAACCTTACATAAAGAAGTAAAGGTCACCCTGGATCTAACGCCATGTCAACGTCGTGTAAAAACAAGAGAGGCGACTAGATCAAATAACGGTGTGACAGCAAACAATCTACAGAAAATGACCCTCAATGTCATGAAAGTAAATAAACAAATAAACCACGATGTAGATCTTGATAAGCCTGTGGACTGTAAACCTTCTAACAAAGTACGTATGCCCTCTGTCACCAAGAAATCGAACGACCCTTGCAGTTCTAATCCCAGCTGTAGATGCTGATCAACTACTGTCAATTACAAGGAACTCAAACACCGTGTATCATTGTGAGTATCTTCTTATTTAAGTATTAACAGTTTAACTAATTTTTATTTTCCCATTTAATTAACATCCAAACATCTTGCCTGCTTACCAACTTATCGCTTTACTCATTATTTTGAACATTATTTCAACTCTTTTTTTCTCTTTCTCCTCGTTCCAGCTCCATGTGCTTCCTATTTCCAAACTACCTATTAATTGACTCATCTTACAAATCATACCATTCATTTACTTAAAATCAATGTGATATACTATGTAGATATATTGTCTGGCAAAGTTGTCTGGATTGCTTGTAATATGGACCTAGTAGATAAAAGTTAATTCCGATAAGGTGTACAAAAAAAAATTTGAGAGTAGACTAGAGACCATTATTTACAATCAACCATTAAACGTAAGAGAGCCTACCATCACAAAAGGAGGGAGGGTGGTGTATCTGACCAGCATTCATGACGGTGGGGTGATAACCTCAATCTACCCATGTCTGTGTGGCAGAACATTTTGTTTGCTTACGGCTCCTTACGATATAGCAGGATGTAACAAATCAGTGATATTGATGTTACTTTTCCTTGTTAACCTCGTCTACAACCCATGTCTGTAACCTTGCACTGGTTTTTACTTCCTACCGAGAAATCCTATTACAAGCTGGTCTGGATAACTATACTAAAAAAGAGCTCATTGATAACTTCTTGAGTCTCAGAGTTAAAAATAAAAAGAATTAATAAAACAAAAATTATATCACTGAGCCTCTTTATTATATTTTGTAAATCAACATTATTACTAACAACTTGGTTCTTCTGAATTTCCTCTATTCATTCGACTAACTTCCCATTAGTTATCTCACTACTGAATTGTCTTCGTTAACCTACATAAGCGCAGGTGTAAAGTGTTCTGATATTAAAAATGTTTGGGTAAACATACCTTTGTTTTATCCATAAACGTTTGTGCAAATCCGTTGTTCGGCTTTGAACAAGAATATTTTCTGTTCCGCTCCTCGTCCCGTTTTCTTTATTCCTCTTTTTTCAGAACATGTTTGTTATTTGAGAATAAATTATTATTATTATTATTATTAATTCTTGTTATATGAAAACCTATCTCTACCATGAATCGTTTCTCAGTCCATAAGATGATTGTCGAAACGCAACCTTCGTGACTTGCGCCAATTATTCGCATTGTACATTCCATCTTTAAGAATACAATGAATCTTGTGAAATGTTTCAGTAACTGTATACCGTTTGAAAGAAATATGTTGCTAATCTTAACATTTTGATCTTGCCTGTAAATTGGCATGTCTCTTGTAACATGTTTGTTATTTGAGAATAAATTATTATTATTATTGTTATTACTATGATAATCAGTAATGGTCTACAAAAATGCACCCCGTCAACACTTTTTTTACACCTTGTCAGTAATGTACTGCTGCTATCAGGTTGATGATTGCTCAGACACTTGGATGCGGAAACTTGAGCAAAGTAATAAGGACACGGAGTCCATGTTCCAACATTATTGGACGATTGCTACCAGTAGATGTGCCGCAAAATAAAGTTCCCTTACCTCAAATAATAATATCAATAATCTGTTCTCAAATAACAACATGTTACAAGAGGCATGTTAATTTAGAGGTAAGATGAAAATGTTAAAAGCGCTAACATATTTCTTGTAAAACGTTGTTCAGTTGGAAAAATAATTGGCAACATAATCTGGCTTTTTATGGAGGACTTATATTTTCACTTAAAGTTGCAGATAGTGTCTCAAACGCTGGAATGTAAGATAAGATATTTAACGCGAGTTATGTATTTTGCGTTGCGGCGGACAACCTCTGGTTGAGAATCAGTACAAGGTTAATCTATGTGTGCATATACAAACACTTGATGAGGTAAATGTGTAATGATCTTCATGTTGGGATTCGCTAGAAAATAATTTGATAGGCTTCTGGGTAAAGCAACTACGTCTTTGGCAACAACCTTTCACAAAAAATATGTTAGCGCTTTTAACATTTTCATATTGCCTCTAAATTGGCATGCCTCTTGTAACATGTTGTAATTTGAGAACAAATTATTAATATTATTATTTGAGGTAAGGGAACTTTATTTTGTGGCACATCTACTGGTATCAATCGTCCAATAATGTTGGAACATGGACTCTGTGTCCTTTTTACGTTACGCAAGTCACTGAAAAGGCAGGGTTGAGATTGTTGAGATTTCTGGGTTTCACTGCAAAAATAAGTTTAGCACTGTTGGAGAAATCATTCTGAAATCTAATAAAAGAAGGTTTTAAATTAGATCGAAAATTGTGTTTCTTCCCCCATGCATGAACTTTCATATCAATGTCATTCTGGAGAATGAGTAATGGCTGCCGTACGACAGGACCGAATACAACCAGGAACTCGGATTCAATAACTGTATCAGTAAGAGATGAAAACCAAAATCCCTCCGGCATTTTCGTTCATTCCTGAAGACCGTTTCGACAGTATCCATTTCAATTTGGTAGATCACATACTGATTCCACCTGCGAAAACTTCGAGGCTACTCTCGGTCTCAAGCCCGGATAAAGGATAAAGGCTGAATTTCTGCAACTGAAAAATATCTGGAACTCAAAAGAATTATCGATCAACACCAAAATCAGGATTTTCATTACAGATGTCAAGACAGTTCTACCGTCTACTGCCGCGCACGTTTCCTATAAACGTCTAGCCGGTTACGTCATTAAGTTGTCGATTCCTCTTTTATCCAGGATTGAGATTTCCATTCAACTATTCCTCAATATCAGCAGTTGTTAAGCCTCGGAGTATAGTAGTCTTAT